CGGAGCGGCGTCGGCGGCGGCGGCGCAGGCCGAGGAGACAGCGAGGGGGAAGCGGGGGCGGGGCTACACTTTGACCCGGCGCACGTCGCGCCGTGGCGTCACTGCGCGGGGCCGTCCCCAGGCGTTGGAGGCGGCCGCTGGGAGGGGCGGGGCTAGTGGCGTAGCGGCGGGGTGCTCGCGGGCCGGCGGGCGCGGACCCCGAGAACGGAGCGCTCCGGCTCCCGGGAAGTCGGCTGTCGCTGGAGATGTTGGCGGAGCCGCCCCGCCTCGCGGGTCGTCCTCACCGCCCCGGGCCCCGAACCCCTGGGGTCTGGTTCCGGCGGACTTGGGTGGAAAACCACCACCCGTCTGTCGCGCGTGTTTCCTACCAGGGCATTTCCAAACGGTCGCCAGAAGGAGTCAGTTACGCCCAAGAGCACGACAGTCACATGCCACTGATTTTGTTTCCCCGACCCCCCACATGACTTAACTGCTGGTGTTAAAGGGAAAACAGCCTCAGTGCATCATCTCATACAACAGCACCGCCTCTGGTTTCCTGGAAGACAGTTTCTCAACGGCCGGGGTGAGGGGCGTGGTTTCGGGACGATTCAAGCGCACCGCTTGCAGGCTCACCTCCTGCCGTGGGGCCCAGTTCCTGGCAGGCGCGGGGGGGGGGGTGGTCCTCGTCCGCGCCCGCCAGAAGTCGGGAACCCCGGATCTACCAGATGACTTTGTAAGGTGTAATTCATCACACGTCATGGAATGAATGTCTTTATGGAGAAAAGGGGCGACACGCTAAACCTGACAAGCCAGGGGGAGGCCTGGTGGCTGGCCTTACAAACTCAAGAGACCCAAAGTAACTACATGGGATGGTCTGAAATAAAAACTTTTTAGCCAAAAGCAGTTCATGGCGGGTAGTCACGTCCTAGGCCGGTATTTTTCCCAAACAAGGGTCAATCTTTATCCTAACTGAGCCTGTCTGTTGCCTTTTAGCATCTATAATAACATACCTTTAGAATATGAAAGTAATCTTTTTTTTTCTGGACCCCCTTAAAGTACAACCACCAAAGCAGAGCAGAGACCACAAATCCCTGGGCTGTGGTGGTGTTAATTGTAACCTGACCACCCTGTACCCCACTATATAACAGAAGGATGTCTCTATTTATTTCACTTTGTATCAAGTCCCAGAGATTTCCTGGCTCTGCTCTCTGGCCTCCCTAATCTACCACCAACGAATTGCATGCAACCCCCTTACTCCTCCTTTTATTGTAATGTGTAAAATAAGCCGTAGCACTGCTGTTTCTGGGAGCATATTCTCGGCCTGTTGAGATTTTGCGTCCCGGCAATTGTCAGTTTGGCTCAGATAAACTCATAAAAACATTACAGATTGGAGCGTTTCTTACATGTTGACACCAGCGAATTCCTAGTCCATGTTTACATCTCCACAGTTGTTTCACATCTGCTCACAATTGTTTTGCAGCCTCTATATGCAAACCGAAGTTTATGTGTTGGATCCAGATCACATGATTAAGTCTCTAACTTGAGAATTTTAAAGTTAGCTAAGCTCTAGCTGGTGTTGCTCCGTGGGTTGAGTCCCAGCCTGTGAACCGAAAGGTCGCAGGTTCAAGCCCCAGTCAGGGTACAGGCCTGGGTTGCGGGCCAGGCCCCTGCTTGGGGGTGTATGAGAAGCGACCGATCAATGTTTCTCTGCCTCCCTTTCCCCCTCCTTTCCCCTCTCTCCAAAAATAAATAAAATCCTTAGAAAAGTGAGCTAACACTGGAGGTGTAGATGGTGTGAGACGGCCTGACGGGGCGCACGGTTCCCCATGTTGGTGCCCATCGATTCACATTGGCATCCGAAAGTGATGTGTCCCTCCCACGAGTTGTGACTTCCAGCCCCCTGGACTGGGGTAGGGGAGGGGGGAGTGTTACAGAAGAATGAGCCATCGTGCCTGCCTTCAGCCCACGGGAGATTTACAGACACACAAAAAATAGGAGGTTCTGATCCTTCGGAACCTGACCTGGTGGGTGGTCAAGACCAGCATCTCGGGACAGAGGAATCTCTCTTCCTTGGCATTCCTTAGGACCTAGTCGTGGAGGGCCTCGGGTGCCATGCTGAGGAGCTCGCCCATGTACCCTGGAAAGCCTGGAGAGTAATCGATGTGAAATGATGATACCCCTTTCTCCTCTCTCTTTCCTTCCCCACGAACCCTGCCCGGAGTGCTGCTCTTTCGGGGCCGTCCCCCTGGTTCCCGCAGCCTGGGGAGCACTGCGCCCTCACTGGAGAGCCACCAGCCTCGGCCTGGGCTTTTGAAGGACGAGTCTGCTGTGCTCTTTCAGGGGGGTTTCGGTGTGGACTGAACTCCTTTCACGGGCTGCAGGTTTCTCGGGGGAAACTCTGGGCCCCATGAGGTCTGGCCGGGGCTGCCGTGGGGGCCTCAACGGTTCAGTCTCCTCCCTTCCTTCTCGCCACGCCACGTGAGACGCCCGTCAGCGGCGGTGTCCAGTTGCAGCGGACCTAGAAGGTGGGGGCCGCTACCCTGGCTCTTCCGTGCGTTAACCATGTGACTTCGGGCGAGTTGCTTTTCCGAGGCTGATGCCTCACCTGTAAAGCAGGATTCGTTAGTATTCACGTCACTGGCTTGTCTGGGGGTTAAAGAGTTAAGACAGAGAGAGGAGAAAACAGGAGCTGAAACGAAGGATTAGCCGTTTTGCTTTTTGCCCGTCGGCCTGTGGGCTGTGCCCAGACCTCTTGTCTTCGTCCATTTCAGTCCCTGGCTCCCTGCCCCCGCCCCGTTGCCCGCCGCCCGCCGCGGGATTCCCCAGTCTCCTCCGCATCCCGTGCGGGCTGGCCCGTGTCCTTTTTCCTGGTCTCCCCTCTCAGGGGCTCCGTGCTCGTCAGAATGACCGCGCTCTCTTCCGCTGCCCGGTCCTCCAGCCCCATCCACGGTGCCCCCTCCCAGGGACCGCCACACAGTCTCTCTCTCTCTCTCTCTCTGCCACGAGGAGTCCACAGGAGCTGGACTTTTCTCACCTCTTTCTGTTTTACTCAATTTTCTTCCTTTTCTTTCTTTCTTTCTTTTTTTTTTTTTGCAATGGGAAACCCCCCTCATGTGGTTTTCCTTGGGCTTCTGATCCCCTCGCTGAGGGTAGCTGGGGAAATTCCGTCCCTAGTTCTAAGTTACTTTTTTTACCGGACTCAAAACCGCTCACCCAGTTCACATTTTTACTTGTTTACAAGACTTTGTCCCCTTCCGAGTGTCAGCTGTGGTCAGCACTGTGAGCGGCCCATTCCGTAGGCCAACAAGATATTTCAGAACAGCCCCGGGGCCTTCGGCGGCACGCCCCCCCCCCCCCCCGTCCTCGCCGCTGAGTCACACCTGTCGGCGTCAGCACCGAAACGTGTCAGTCACCAGCGTCGTGTTTTTAAGGCAGCTCATTTATCTGAGCTCCAGATTTAGCTAATGCCACGAAGGGAACGAGACCGTGACCTCATTGGGTGGCTCAGGCCCCACGAGATGCTGAGTCACGGTGCATCCGAGGGCTGCTCCGGCTCGGCCACGGATGTCAAGTTCGAGGCTGCAGTGATCTCAGATTCCCGCCGGGCTTGTTGCCGTTCCGTTCCTTTTCAAAATGCAGCGTCTTTGTGTCACTGGGCGGGGGGAGGTGGGGCGGGGGCGGGTAGGGACTAGGGCGGGAGAGGACGGACTGTGACATTTTCAAGGACGTTCACGGTACTCACAACTAACAACAGCAGAACCTTGGGCTCCATTCCTCCCACCGGCCGGGGATATACGGTCAGACCGAAGTTCCACTTCTGCCTTTTCTGTCACTGATGTGGGGTGAGCAGAGCACGTGGCCCCGCTACAGTACTGTTTAGGGGTGCAGAGGAAGGTGCTGGTGGCTCTTGTTTTGAGGATATCAGGACCGCAGCCCCAATGGTTGGTGGTGTTTGGGGGAGAAAAAAGTGGGGTTCGGGTCACTGGAGAGGCTCTGAGCTCCTTGCAGTCGGGGGCAGCGTGGTGGTCTCAGGTCTGTGGTGAGCAGCCGCCCTGTCACCCTGCCCCATCCTTCCCTGTCAGCTGGCACACTGTCACGCTCCCACTGGCTTAGACACCGCAGTGGGGTAGTGAGCAGCGGAAGTGACCGGGTAAGTGCAGCTACCGAACCACTGGTGTGGGGACGGAGTGGAGGAAGTGTGTCTGTGTGTTCACTTATTCAAGAAACGACAGGCCCACTAAGTGTCGGGCACACTCGGGGCTGGGGATACGGTCACGAAACAGATCTCTGCTCGCACGGAGCCCACACCCTGGTGGGAGCGCGGGCAGGGGACAAACAAGCAGACGCATGACACATCCGAGGCCAGTGTGCTCTGGAGGAGAAGTGTAGGGAGCGTTGCCTTTGGAAAACTTTTTTTTTGAATGGAGAATTTTTTTAAAAACTACTTAATTTATTTATTTTTAGAGAGAGGAAGGGAGGGGGAAAGAGAGGGAGAGAAACATCGATGTACAAGAGGGATATTGATTGGTTGCCTCATCCACATGCCCTGATTGGGGACCAAACCAGCAACTCAGGCACATGCCCTGACTGGGAATTGAACCGGCAATGATGCAGGACTATGCTCAACCCACCAAGCCACACTGGTCAGGGCTATTCTTTCATTTTAAAAAAGATTTTATTTATTTATTTTTAGAGAGAGGGGAAGGGAGGGAGAAGGAGAGGGAGAGAAATATCAATGTGTGGTTTCCTCTGGTGTGCCCCCTACTGGGGACCTGGCCCGCAACTCAGGCATGTGCCCTGACTGGGAATCGAACTGGCGACCCTTTGGTTCCCAGGCCGGTGCTCAGTCCACTGAGCCACACCAGCCAGGGCTATTCTTTCATTTTTTAATACAAGTCAAGCAAATACAAATTTATATTCTTTTTAAAAAGATTTTATTTATTTTTAGAGAGAGGGGAAAGAAAAAGAGAGGGAGAGAAATGTCAATGTGTGGTTGCCTTTCATGCCCCCACTACTGGGGACCCGGCCTACAACCCAGGCATGGGCCCTGACTGGGAACTGAACCAGCAATTCTTTGGTTCACAGCCTGCGCTCAATCCACTGAGCTACCCCAGTCAGGGCCAGATTTATGTTCCTATCTTGCCCTTTTGTTACCAGAAAAGCAGAGTACTACATACACTGCTCTGCACTGGCTTTGGTCGTCTGAGAATCCCGAAAATCCACATCAGGACACAGATTTTCCTCATTCCTTTTTTCTTCCTCTTTTTTTTGGGGGGGTGGTAAAGGTTTTACTGAAATATAGAAACATACATCGTGAGGGTGCACCATGATTCACTGGATCAGTCCTTCAGTGACGGACATTGGACTCATCACCCGGTAACTAAGACATGTGTCTACGCCAGAGATGAAAATGCCCCAGACGTGATTCTTGACTCCCAACGATGAGAAAATAGGGTCTCGTTCTTCAGGGGTCTTCCGCGAGGCTGACTCAAGCTTTGAGTTTATTTCTGATCATTTGATTTTCAAAGACATGGGTTTCAACCCAAAGAAAATGCTAGATTTTCTTCAGGCCGGGGGCGCCCGTTTTCAGCACGCTGGGATGGGAGCGCTCCCCGGGAACTCCGTCCGGAGGGCTGGGAGTCACCCGAGGTCTGCGGTGATTCGGGGCCGAGGCCTCGAACTTGCACACACAGCAGCTCTGGATGACCGTCTCTAGGTCCCTGTGACGGAGACACGACTTCAGCTGCGGTTCAGCCGTGGCTTCGGCTCGCAGGTTTTCCCCACGGAAGCAGCAGCTGCGCAGGCCCGGCAGGGAGAGTGCACAGAAGAAATTCGGAGGACTGCTGGCCTGGGCGACGGCAGCCCCGCCTTCCTCTGAAAGACACCGCGGGAAAATGCTCCCCTGGGAGGTCTCCACGAGGGGTGAGGTCCATGGGCGTCGTTGCTGGAAAGGGATGGCCGGAGCGCGTCCGCCTGGGGCCGGGGCTGTGTGGGCGCTGGAGAGGTTCCACAACACCGTCCCAGTGTCTTTAGGGGGACGTTAATGAAGCTGGGGACGCTGAGACAAGGGAGGACTTAGGATTAAAAAAAAAAGCATCCGGAGAGAGCCTCAGTGGGGCTGCTTTGGCTATTTAGAAAAGTTATAGGACAGGAGTGAGCCCAGGCGAGGCTGCTGTGAGCTCACTGGGGAGTCAGAGAGAAAGGGGGCCCTGGGGACAGGGGCGGGGGACGGGCACTGGGATGAGCTGCTGCCACTGCCAACGGCTCCCCTGGTTGCGAGTCTCATGGGGACCCTTTGAGTTTAGGAGATGCACGTCTGTGGGGGAAGAGGAGAGGGAGGGGGAGGGGACGGTGCAGCAAGCTCCTGGGAGGGAGAGAGGCCACGCTGGGCCCTTTCTCTCGAGGGTTTTACAGGCTGGGGGTTTAGGGGAGTCTTTAGGGGAGGGTCTCAACAGAATATTCAACTGGGGACACTGAGACAAGGAATACGCACCATCAGCTCTGTGCCGGCGCGCCTACAGCAGACTTACTCCCTCAGCTTCCTCCGTGCTCGGGTGTGGTTGGCGAATGGCACTGTCTGGGTTTCCACGATTGTTTTCCCGGAGGAGGGCAAGGGAGGCTGTTTACCGGCTGGTTGGGGAGGAGAAGGGTGAACTGTTTACTTGGAAGTGTCCTTGGTGAGGCAGGAGGTGTCCTTGGTTAGGGAAGATAGGATTCTTGGAGGCGCGGAGGCTGCTCCTTATCTGGGAAGCCCTGGAGGAAGTGCCGCCCCCTCTGAGCTCCTGCAAGGATCTCCAGAGTTCTCGGCCCTTTTCTCAGTGGGACTAACGACCTTCTAACGCCAGCTGGGGCCACGCCTCTAAACGTCGCCTCCAATCAGTTTTGGGTGAGTCTCCAGAGTCACCCAGGGAATGGCCCCAGATCTACTGAACCGGGGGCGCAGGGTGGGGCCCAGGAAGCGTGACTTTGGGGACCACTGGGTCTCGGAGGAAAAGGCCAGGCCGCAGGCGGGCAGATCCGGTGTTGAATCCGGCCTCTGCGGCCTGGAGCAGCGTTCCGGACGCTGGTGAGCCGCGCCACCTCCAGGAGGAGCGACTCCGGGGGGCGGGGGGACCAGTGAGATGCCGAGAGCCTCACAGGGCTGGCCCGGAGGCTGGACGGTCCCGGGCATGTGGCTACTGGCTGCATCCGTCTGCCTGCTGTGGGAGACACACCGTGGTGGACCGGGACTTCAGAGACAGACATTTATCCCCCACCGTTCTAGACCCTGGGGAGTCCTGCCTCGAGCCGCCGGCAGGTCTGGTGCCTGTTGGGAGCCCACTTCCCGGTTCGCAGATGGCCTTGCCCTGGCCGTGTCCTCCTCACACAGCCGGCCGAAGGGGCCCGGGGCTCCCTGGGGTGCCTTTTCTGCAGGCCCCGCCCCCATGACCTCACCACCTGCCAAAGGCCTCACCTCCTCACACCCTCCCCCTCGACATTGGGATCTCGACACAGGGATCTCAGGGGGACACGGGCCTTCAGGCCACGGCAGCAGCCGCGGGCTGCCCTGTCCTCCCTCGGTCCGGCGCAGGGTGCTCGTCGGAATTCCCGGGGGCCCGGCTGTACACAGCTCAGCCGCAGTCAGATGGCCACGCGGCGGGTTGGGTCACAGAGGGGGGTGTGCACCGCCCTGGGCGATTGTGATGACCTCAGGTGAAACCTGGTCAAGCGTGCAGCCGGCCAGTCAAAGGCCGGGGACAGCAGTTGGACGGACGGAACTGGTCGAACAGGCTGGCCGAGCCTCAGGGCTTCTGACTCATGGACGCCTCCCGCCTGCCTGCCTTGGTCCCTCGGCGTGGGAGGAGGGGGAGCATCTGCATTTGGTTTGCATGTGCTGAGCGTGACCCGTCCCAGCCAGGCAGCTGGAGTTGGGGCTCTGAGGCTCAGAGGGACTGCCTGGCCCGGGGGTGGGTGGGGACGCAGCGGAGGGCTCTGGGGCTCCTGGTAGCCACGGTCACCAGGCTGGGGCCACTCGGCTAACCCACTCGGAAAGCGGCTCCCTCCCCCTGCTGCCCAGGCCCTGGCCCTGGACCAGGGGGGTCAGGCGACACCTGGCTAAAGGCCCTGCAGGGTCCTGTCATCTCTCTGGGGGGAAGCAGGAGCAGAGATCAGAGGGTGTAAAACCATCGATATCGGGGTGACCTCTTGTCTCCTCCTGCGCCCCAGCCCCGACAGAGGCAGAGGTGGGGAGAGGGACATTCTTACATCATCTGTATAAACATGGAAACTGTTTTCCCTCCCTCTCTAGTTCCTGTTTCATGTTTTTTTTTTTCTGTGCAAATAAAACCCCAAGTTTACCAGGGTAAAACAACAAATTGTTAAACAACGATTCGTTAAACAACGAATCGCCCCCCGAAGGGAGACAGGGAGTGGCCGGAGTCCCGGGCTCTCGGTGCCAGGAGCATTAAGGGTGAACAGTGGACACTGCGGACACAGGTGGTCCTGCGTATTGCAAGGTCTGTTTAGAGAAAGGTGCCTGGACCCCAGGGAGACGCTGGAGTTCTCCCCGTTCAAGTCAGCCCATTTCCAAACGCGGAGGATAAAGGAATGGGACCGTCCAGGCCCGCAGCCCCGGCGGGTGCTCCCCAGCCCGGTGATTGCCTCCTATTGCTCTTTCTCGTTGACACGGGGGGTGGGGGGGCAAAGGAATCACAGGGCGCCCCCACTGTCCGGGCTTCTCCAGGGAGACGTTTCCCCAGGGTGCCCCGGGGCCAGTGGAGGCGTCCACGAGCCCTTGGCCGGGGGATCCCGGGCCCAGGCTCCAGCTGTGGGTCCGTGTGGCCCGTTCAGGGCCCCACCTCAGGGTCTTTCTAGTGCTCTCCTGCGCGCACGGAAGGTGTGTGCTTGGAACCCTCTCCGGGCGCCCGGTGTGGGCGGGTGGGAGGGGAGGGCACACCCACAGCCGAGCAGGTGGACGGGGAGTAGAAAAACGCAGCCGCCTGTGTTCTGGGCGTCATCGTGGCAAATTGCACGCCTGGCCCATTAATTCACTGGCCACGCCTTCGCCCCAGCCGTTTCGGCACGAGTCGCAGATGGAGAGATTCTTATGCACGATACCCTCCCGGCTGTTCTACTCAGGGGTGGTCTTCGAACACCGAGCCTCAGGGTCCGTGCACCAGCTCGAGCCCCAAACAGCCAGGAGGCAGTAGTGCCGGGGGGTCCAGGCGGGGATGTGGGGTGGCAGGGGAGGGTGTGTCCTGTTAGCTGTGCAGGGGGCGGAGGGGAAGGAGGGAACGCCAGCAGGATTTGGGACGGCATTTCCATTAGTCCTAGCGTCTTGCTGTAAACAGGAGGTGACGAGATGCGGCTGGAATAGCTGAGTCTTAGGGAACCAGCATCCACCGGGGAGTTCATTACCGCCAGCCGTCCGCTGCCCGGGGCCGGCCTGCTGCTTCTGGCTGTCCCCCCAGCGCCGGAGCAGGAGATCGCAGCCACCCAGGACTCGGAGCTCGAGGATGGATCATCGGCGAGATCGAAAATGACACCCCAAATTGCTTCCAAATGCGAGGAGGTTTTGAAACGGCGCTGGCGCTGATCGTCTCACGCAGCTTCATGCCTCAGATGTTTCCCGGCCAAATAAAGAGGCGCAGGAGCCATCAGACGCTGGTTCGGGGTGATGACCATGAATCATTGCAAACAGGTTGTCCTGTTGCTGGAAACGCAGGCGCCGGGCCCCAGTCACGGGGCAGTGGGCCGCAGAGATTGTCTCGCGGAGGGTGTGGTGGCCCGTGGCGTTCCTGGGGCCCACCTGCGCCCTTGCCCAGGGAGAGAAGGAAATCCCCCCAGGTGTTTGGGGGGCTGTTGCAGGGGCCGCGGGATGTGGGGGAGGGCAGGGGTGCAAACCCACTGCAGGAAGCAACCCGGTGGCACTAATTAGCAGGCAGCGTGGCAGGACGGGCCCAGGTGAGGACACACAGGTCTCCAGCCCCGCCTCGCCGCCTGGCCTGGTTCTGGGGCGTTCACGCCCGTGACCTGCCTTCCCAGGTGGGCTGGGTTCCAGTTCCCATTCCACCAGCCGGGAGGTCGCTGGTGAGGCAGGCGCTGCCGGTGACCGCGTTTCCTCTTTAAGTGCATGCTATGGTTCTGCCCTGGCGGGTGTGGCCCAGTGGGTCGAGCACCCGCCTGCAAACCAGAAGGTTACCTGGTTCAAGTCCCGCTCAGGGCACGTGCCTGGGTTGTGGGTCAGGTCTCCAGCTGAGGGTGTGTGAGAGGCAGCCGACTGATCACGAGATGTTTTTCTCCCTCTCTTTCTCCCCCCTCCCCTTGCTAAAAATAAATAAATAAAATCTTTAAAGAAATACGTTCCTTTTAAAATTCCCATGCAGGGAAGGAGGGGCGAGGGGACGTCGGAGCAGAGTCTTGAGAACCGGTCTCCTCTCTCCTTGTTTTTGGCCTCTCAGGCCCTGTGATGCGGTTGGGAATTCCAGGCACCGGGTGACACTTGCAGCGCCATCCTCCTGCCCGGCGCCAAGCGTGGGCCCCGCCCCAGCCCCCCGGGACCTGTGCCCACCCTGCCCCCACCCTGGCCGGATGGACTCCTTCTGGGATTTAGCAGACAAAAGCACAGGACGTCAGTTAAGGTTAAATGTCTGATGAACCACAAAAGATTTTTTGTTTAAGTATGGACCCTTCAGTGTTTGGGACATATTTATACTGAGTTTTTTAAATTGCTGTTTATCTGAAGTGAAAACGGACCTGGGCTGTGCAGCGTCGCACCTGACCCCGGGGGCCGCCCTCGGCACCTCCGGGCCCTCCCACAGACGCCTCCTCTGCCTCGTCCGACCTCACCCACCCAGTCTTCAGAGAGGAGCCGAGCACCCGCCCCGCAGAGAGCCTTGTGCCCTTTGGAGGCGAGGCGACCTGGCAGGGTTCCCTCCCCCCAGGCCCGCTCTACTGGCAACAGCACCACAGAGTGGGAAGTGCCAGGACCACTGGGGACACTGTGTTGCCCTGTGGTCTGGGGCCACAGGTTCTGGGAAGAGGTGGTCCTGGAGGGGGCCTGGGCGGGGGGGAGGGGCGTACCTGGTGGCCCGCGAGGCTGAGGGCAGATCTGCGCTTGGGGCTGGGCTCTGGCCCCTTAGATCCTCGGGGTCTCGTTCCCCGGGCCGGGCTGGGCAGAAGGTCCGGTCAGAGGAAAGCAACACAGCTGGTCGCGACTCTGGCCACCAGAGGGCAGGCTGGCCTGTGGAATGACTTTTCCTCGCCCTGAGGAGGGAGCCCAGCCCAGTTTCAGGAGGGGCAGAGAGAAACCGAGGGGAAGGGAAGAGAAAGCCACCCTCCCCCTTGGGCAGTGGGGTCTTCCTGAAAGGCATGTGGCAGTGACAAGGACTTCTGTCTGCGCCTTGTGAAACATCCTGGAGACCTCAGGGCTTTAAGTTTCTTGTTTTCATATGTGGCCATGCTTTTCGTCACCCAGCAGGTAGCTGGAGCCCGCTGGTCCTGCCCGCCCTGCAGGCGGGGGGATCCCAGCGGGGCCCCAGCCCCTCACCGCAAGGTCCCCTCCCCCCGGGGCAGCACTGCCTCTCCGCCTCCCCGTCCCCTCGACAGCAGCCTCGGAGGCCAAGGCCAGGGCCCGGGGACTGCCGGGGCGAACCAGCTCCGCCCCCAGCCCCGTCCGCTGTGGGGACGCATCCCCTGTGAATGTCACGGGGTGTGTGGAGGGCGGGGCGGAGCTGCGGGTTGGGGTCTGCACTTCTCAGAGACGAGGACCTGGCCAGGGGTCCCCTCGCTCCCGCCCGGGACCCCAGCAGCGGCAGGAGGTGGCCAGCAGGCAGCCACCCCCCCAGGGAGTCCCGAGGGTCCTGGGGGGAAAGACCGATTTCCCCTGGACACGGAATCCGAGGTGCCAGCCGATTTGATTTAAATTCAGACAACGATGCGGCGGCGGCAGCAGCACCTGCATTACGTGCACAGCTGTGGTGGGGGGGGGCTCTGCTCGCCCCTGGCCCCCAGGGCAAGGTCACCCCAGAGGGATGAAGACACTCCCGGCCCAAGGCTGCACAGTGAGCGTGGTGCCCTGCGTTGGAACCGCCTGCTCTGAAATCACCCCGAGAAGATACGTGTCCCCCAGATACTGTCCCTGGCACCAGGTCCCCAGGAAGCCCCGGTTCCTGCTCTTTCCAAGGCGGGGGCGAGGTGGGGGGGCTCGTTCAGCTCCGTCCCTTCAGAGGAGGGCGGGGAGCGGCCTGGCGGAATGTCCTGCGCAGCCCACGTAGGCCCGGGTGGGGGGGGGGTGTCTGGGCCTGCCGTGAAGCACCCGCCCCACTGCGCCTGCGCGGTGCCCCGGGGCGCGCAGACCCCAGCGTCGGGCGGGGTGGCGGCGGCTGCACTCAGAAAGGGGCTGTCGGGGGCGGTGGGCACGGGCTGCCCGGAGCCTCGGCCGAGCTTGCGCTTGACCTCATCCTCAGGGAGCTGGGGCCGGAGCAGTGGGGGGGGGGTGGGGGGGAGGGACAGGCGCCTCGGTTTCGATGGGACTTGGGTTTATAAATAGGCACGAGCAACGGAGGAGAGAGAGGGAGGGAGGGACCCAGAGAGAATCCTTGGTGGTGAACTTACATCCATTTGGCAGTGACCTTTTTCTTCCTTCCAAGACAAGCTGTTTGATTTCGTTGAAACGGAAGACACGAAATCCACCTTGGGTTACCAAGGACTCTATTCAGCCCCCTTGATGCCACTCAGGGTGGCTGCTGGTGTCCAGGGACAGGGAACGCCAGCCCTCTCCCCTTCTCCCTCAGCAAGGCCCCTGGCAAGCGGAGGAATCGATGCCTGCAGCCAGAGGGGAGAGAGTCATCAGCAGGCCTGGGTTGGCTAATTTAGGAGCTGGCAATTAGCAAATGCGGCCTGCCCGCGTCCCTCGCTGTGATGCGTTAGAGAGAAACAGAGGCGAAAGCAGGCTCGAGGCCCAGCAGTGCGCCCGAGATGCTGATCCATAACAACCCCGATGAACTGCCAAGGCGACCTCATGCGTCCCCCCCCCCACCCGCGGGTTCCTGCCTCTGCCTCACGCGGCTGCAGGGGAAGGCAAGTCTGGCTCAGTGTCGCGTTGGATGGGACACAGACGGTGAGACCTGGACAGGTGTGGGCAGCTGGGGAGGGGGCTGTCCCGGGAGCTGCCTCTGTCTCTGCCCACGGGGGGTGTCCACCTGGAGAACCCTGAGGGCCAGTGTAGCACCAGGGGGAGCCGGGCTCCGGCAGGACCCACAGCCTTTTCAGTGCAACAAGATTTGGGATCCGGACTTGAATGAAAGAGAAGTCCAGCTCTGGGAGACAGGGAGGTGCGCCCCCCAGCTCTCTGTGGGCGACATTCGCTGCCTGGCTGCAGAGGGTGACCTGCAGGTGACTCATTCTGCAACAGCCAGGGAGCCGCCCGGCCCAGGCCACGCCCCTCCCAGGGAAGCACCAGGAGGTTCTGATCCTGGAGGGACCTGAAGCCCATTCTGGCCCCATGCAGGGCCCTCTGAAGGGCAGTTTTCCGTCCTGAGCTTCCCCGCTGGCTACACTGGACCTTGGTCAGGGAGTTCGGCTTTCCCTGGGCCCAGTCCTTCTTCCTTGTGCCCGGTTCGCGGGCACACCCCAGCCTCCATCCGCACGTGAGCCCCCGAGAGCCCAGCCTGCGGCCCCACCCGCCCCAGGGCAGCCCAGTAGGGGCAGTTCGGAAACATGGTTGCCGTCTCTGTCTCCGTGGATGTATCTATCTCTGTGGATCTCTCTGAACAGGTGCTTCAGGGCCTGTTCTTTCTTGGGCAGAAAGGCTGAGAGGCCTGTGGCTGGTATTTATGGTTTTTGGTTTCACAAAATTCATGAAGATATTATTTACTTATTTTTAGAGATAGGAAGGAGGGAGAGAGGGAAGGAGGGAGGGAGAGGGAGAGAGAGGGAGAGAGGGAGAGAGAGAGAGGGAGAGACTGACTTCTTGTTCCACTATTTAAGTACTCATTGCTTGATTCCTGCATGTGCCCTGACCAGGGATCGAACCCCCCACCTTGGTGCATTGGGATGACACTCTAACCAGCCATGAGCACATGCTCAGGGTCAAGGCTATTTTTTTTTCTATTCACCATTTCATTTATCTCTGCTTTAACCTTTATTATCTACTTCCTTCAGCTACAATCTGTTAATTCATTTGAGATTAAAAAATGGTTTTATTTATTTTTAAAGAGAGGGGAAGGGAGGGAGAAAGAGAGAGAGAGAAATATCAGCGTGTGGTTGCCTCTCACGCCCTCCCCCCACCGCCCCCTCGGGGTACGTGGCCCACAGCTCAGGCCTGTGCTCGGACTGGGAACCGAACCTGCAACCTTCCTGTCGTGGGAGCACACCCAGTCCACGCAGCCACACCAACCAGAGTGAGACATCCCGTTCTCTCGGATAAGAAACTTTATTATTTTTCTCGACAGTCAGATTTCCTCCCTCTTCCCTCTGGTTTAGAAAGGACATGCCGTTCAGCCGTCCTGCCACCGCCGCGCCGCAGAAACAACGTGGTGGGAGAACGGGAACACGCCCCGCCGCGGAGTGATCTGGCCTGCAGGGAGGAGCAGGAGCCTCCAGGGACTAGTTTGCGGCCCTCGGGCTCTCCATCTCCAAGAAACGGAGCGCAGAGCCACCTGAGGGGGAAGCGGTGTCCGCTTCTGGTGCCCTCGCTGGTGGCACGTGCTTCCCCCAGCACGTTAGTACTCGACAGCGGCACGTGCTCGATTCAGGGGCCACCGCGGGAAGAACGTCCTTACATGCCTCCTCCGCCCGTCCGGCACTGCGCCTGCGCGCCGCTCGGCTCCGCCCTAGGAGCGCAGAAACCGCCCAGCTCCCCGGCGCTCGCGCCCTGGGCGCCCCTGCGCGCCTGCAGCGGAGCGCAGCGTGCACCTTCTCTGCAGCGTACTGTGCCGGAGAGACGCCAGCTGTTCCTCCAGGTTGCGAGGTGAGGGCACCCGCCGGCAAGAGCGTCATCCCCAGTACAGACGGTGTGCCATAGCACTGAACACCTGGAGCCCACATCGTTTTATTAACCAGTGTCACCCCAATACATTCAGTCAAAAGGAAAAAGGAAACAGCATCCCTAGGCACAGCCTCGGGGACATGGCTTTGGAGCAAGGCCATCTCTCCGTGCGCCCCTCGGACTGCTACTGACCTGCACCATTCAAGGTTTTTATCGACCACCTTGGCAGTTCCTTGGTTTGGTGTTGTAGTGCCTGCTTGAAAAGCCCTGTGAGCATTTGGGGGTGAAGGGAGGGCACGGCGCGGACCCTGCAGAAAGGAGGCAGGACGGGGAGGGGTTGGGACCGCGGTGGGTGGGCGTTGCTGTTTCAGAGTGATGGTGGGGGAAGGCTGCACGTCCTCGGGCCACGGAACGAGGCAGGATCTGGGACGGGACATGCACCTGGGGCCCAGCCTGCAGAGACCAGGGTCCGAGGGGAGCACCCGAGGCAGGCAGGCAGGCAGGCAGGCAGGCACCGTCCTGTTTCTAGAGGCTGGGGTCTGTCGGCCTGAAGTCAGAAAAGGACCGAGAACGCCGTGACGACCCACAGGGCCGGGCGCGGTCGGCGCCAGCAGCTTCGAAGGAACAACGGATTCTGCCGAGACCGCGGAGGGGGCCCTTGTGTCTCCGGAGCAGGCAGCTGCGGCCCTCAGCCGGCCACTGAAGACCACTGCGGCGAGACCCACCTTCCTGAGCTGGGTTTCGATCGTTTTGGACAAAGCCAAGCCAAAAAAGGGCACCATCTTCCAGGAAACGTTCTTTTCTTTTTTCCTAAATCACAGCAGGAAATCTCTGCAATGTCTCGGCGAACACCTCTCACCCGGGGTGGGGGGCGGGCGGGGTGGGTTCTGGACACGAACGGCTTGTTTCGTCCTCAGGGACAGTCCCCTCCACGTGTCTGCCTCCGTGGCCCCAGCATTCACACGGCTATGCTTTGGTTCAAAAGGCGTGACTACTCCTGTGATACACCACTTGATACAGCAGCACCGAGCCAGGAGTGGAAGAAGGGAACCAGACTTGAGAAGCTTGGCTGAACCCCGAGACGTGCGATACAAAGCCCCTCCCGGCCACCAGCAGCCCTGGAGACGCTTCAGCAAAGCGCATGTGCCAGCTCAGCCACCTGCAGCGCGGGCCCTGCGGAGCCTGGACAGCGAGAGCGCCCTTGGGTGAAAGCTGGCTCTGGACCCTAAATGACACAAAGGGAAATCGCCCATCACTCTTTGTGGGGACAGACCCGTGTCGACTGCCTTTTTGTCTCTTCTCCCTCTGCCCGGAGGCCTGTGTCCGGGTGACTGGAAGACCCAGGAGCTCTGGCCTCTCTCTGCACGCTCCTCATTGGGCACCTTGGACGGGGCCACTCATCCGTCCCGAGCCGTGGGACCGATGCCCTCGGCCGCTCGCCAGGACAGCGTGCTGCGGCAGCCGCTTGCTCCGGGACCCCGCGTCCGCGGGTCGCCGCGGTGGACTGCATCCTGCGGGAAACCGAAGACGGACTCATTTTTCAAAAAGTTCATCTTCGCTTGAAGATTTGAAAACTGCAAATGGCTTTCAGTGCAGTAGCCTGAGGCTGCATATATATATATATATATATATATATATATATATATAATCTCAGAACTATACTTATTTTACTTTGGAAGCTTCTAGATAGGAAATGCCAACTTGGCCCTCCAAAGGAAGTGAAGATTCTTGGCCACTTCTCCAGACTTTGGAAACCGAGGCCAGCAAGATAATCAAAGCACGAGTCCTTATTTCAGGTTCGGGGTCAAATTCTTTACCGTGCAGTGTCAAGCCCCAGATTAGCATAGGAGAATTCCCTACGGCCCGGAATTCATCTTTAAAAGGAAAATCCATTCTTTAAAAATACGTGCTCAAGGCAGTCCATACTAGACACGCACCCCAGTCATTTAGTGTCTTGGGCTTTTGTTGCCCTTAAACCAATCACAGAAATACATCAAAGAGTTACCCAGGAAAGGCAAATCCAGCATTTCGGATTTCTTAGGATGAGCAGAGGCACCCAAAGCACAGACCACCGATTTTGCCGGGCGCTGAAAAAGACAACCACTCGCGGCTCCGAACTCAAATCATTCTCCAAACTCAAGACAGGCAACACACAGATGTTTGATTTCCCGAGGACACACTGTTTCCTTTAAGTTTAAAAAAGATCACAGAAGCAAAAACACTGACGCTCCAATCAAGTCTGTGATTGTTAACAAACATTGTTTTATTAAGAATTCACAGTCATTGTCTTGCCGCGTTTGTAGGTGCCAAGAAACCCTGGCTACACACGTCGTAGAATGACACGGTTTCCATAGGTAAAGAGAAAAAAAGGAAAACACGATGCTTTGATAGAAAACGGTTACAAGGTAAATTTTACACTGTAAGTCAGAACGACGAGCTCACCCGGGCCATCGGGGCCGCCGTTTAAGACTGCCGACTTGAAAACTGGAGAGCGGGGCGACGGCGGAACCCCGGGGGGCTCGCTCCGAGACAGGGAGCCCCTTCTCCTCTCCGGCTCCAGCCTCCTCAGCCATGAACTTGGACCAGATCCTCTTTCTCGGTTCTTAGAAAACCCCCCAAACTCAAGATTCCCCCTGACCAGTCTGATGAGTCAGACCCAAGACACATTCTTTCCGATACGTGACATAATCCGACGCGAACAGCGCGGCACACGCCACCCTGCGCACACACATGTGCTGCCTGGGACCGAGAATCATTCCCCGAACCACGCAGGCCCCTCCTGTCCCAGCGCACCCGGTGACGCGCCCCTGAAGCGAGGGGGCGCCCTGCTCGGGAGACATCCGTGGATCTGGACGACCGTTCAGAAGGAGACCTTGACCCCCACCAAAGGAGCCTCCCACTTTGGTCCTAAACACCTTAGACATGGCGGTGGGGACGTCGTCAGGTTTCTTGGGACGTGCAGGAGCCACTGTGCCACAGAAGACTGACGGTGCTCCCGTACAGCTGCGGTGCGGGTCTTCCTGCGTGGAAGGTGTCCCCCAGGCCGGCGTGTCCCCTCGCAGGCTAACACTGGTCCCCGAGGTCTGCGTGAAGGGTACGCAAACCCCCGTGAGATGGTGGGCTTCCACCTCCCACTGGTAAAATGTATGGCTTTTACTTTAGTAAACGGTTGGAAAAGTTCTCTCACTGACCTCAAAGATAAAAGGCTCTATGTACAACAGTTAGCGTTATGCTAGAAATCATGCCTAACGTGTATGAGTTCTGTCCTCTTCCCGGCGCGGACTGCTGGATGCTGACCGAGCGCCATCGGAAATCCAGTGGCCACCTCTAGGTCAACGAAGGCACACGCCACAGGGCGGTCCGAGACCGGCTCAGCGGGCGGCCACCGGCTCTTCAGCTCGGTCCCCGCGGGGTGGACCGTGTCCTGCCCTGCCTGCGCCGGCCTAGGGCAGCCACGGGGCCTCTCTCTGCGTTCTGCATCTTGTTTAACTTCCGAGGAAGCCACATCCTGGCTAAAGACCCTCCCCTCCTGTAGAGTAAGAGAAGGCCAGCCTCAGCAGGTGTCCGGGTTTGCTGTCGTGACACACAGAAACCATTGCTGTCGTTGGTTCCGGCCGCTGTACGATGCAGAGCCGAGTCTGTTGTCTGAACTTGACCTGCCGTGTTGTGCTGTTTCCATGGAAAATGTGTCCATAAAGATGGTATTTGGTGGGCCTCTTCCTGCCCGTTTCACACGTGATACAAACTTCAAAAGTAAAGTTACAGTGATTCTAGATAATGTAGCTCAGCATACTATATTATTTTCTACTCTAACTTAGATGTTAAAGGTGGAGAACAGCTGTTTTTGCCATGGATATTATTACGTTACACAGAAATATGCTCATTTCCCTTTCAGCATCGGGAAGGAGATGGGTTGTCATGAAGTATTTATTACGTTGTCCCGATGGTGGCTGACGGGTCACCTGTGGACAGACCTGCTGGACACAGCTGTGAGGGAACTGAGCTGCGTCACCTGGCCCTGGTCCGTTGATTTACTGCGTACCACATTCATGACGTCTCCCCACCGTCCCGAGCTGCATTTTTGAAATGAGAAATGATGCTGATCTTAAAAAAAATCCTCAAATCATGAATATACATCATGTGCATGTTTTCTAAGCCTCTGGATATTCTATGCTTTTTAAAAAGTAAAAAATGCGACAATAAAATTCATTTTGAAGGAGTATTATATATGTATCATTTAAGGTCACAGCTCCCACTACTCTGAGAAAACACAGATGTGCTATTTAAAGGAATTAACAAAATCCAGTGAAATTTCAATTTCTCAATTCATTGAGAATTTACTATGCAAAAACATAGGAAATGAGAACGTATCCTGCTTGAATGGCAAGTCTGAACTGGTTATAATTCAACAGACAGATTCCTTTCCACAGCTGAGACCCAAAACCTCAGTGCCATGAATAACAGGACTGAAGAATCATGGAACAATGTATACATAGAGGGTTTGTGTAGTGATATAGAGCAATAAATACCACACAGCGAAAATCTGTATCGTAAACCGGATGCAGTAACAAAAGGACACACAGAGCTTATGTACACATTACCGAGGTCTTTACAATAAATTACAGGGTCCACTCCCCTCCCTGCCGATCGGCTATGGGGAACACCGCCGGAAATCTGTCCTGCAGGGCGCGCATCTTGATTCCACTCCTCAAGTTTGTCCAGGATCAAACGATACCAAAAGTCTGAAAAAGCACAATGAATTTTTGCATCGCGTTTATAAATTATTGTTTTTATGCCATCAATAAAAACCAGCAGGTCAAATGTGCATTAAAAAAAAAAGTGGGAATTGTTATTCTTGGTAAGACCTAGAGAAATATATTGTCCCACGCAAGCAGTGATGGAAAGGCTTCTACAAGTTCATGGGAGTTTCCCTTGAACTTCCAGACGGCCTGGGGTACCGTACGCTACAAAGTAAACGGATACAGAGGGAGCTAACTAATCTCTTCATAAAAATAACGGGGAACACGCCTGCTGATGAGAACCGCTGGGAATGAGCAAAACCACCAGCCTCTCCACCAAGGTACCGAGTGTGACTTTGCCGACAGGGATGGATGGGCTGCCCCTGGGTGTGGCCAGATTCGGGAAATTTCAAAGGATTTCTATAAGTTTTCATCCCCCCAAGTTTTTAGTCATAATTGGCAATGGCACATACATCCCAGAACTGTGAAATTTTGTACTATAACTAAGACCAAATATAGACTTCCAGGCCATAAATCACACCGTATCATCTGCTTCTTACAGAAAATAAAGACTAAGGGTCCAGTAATTAGAAGGGAACAATCTAGAAATTAGTCAGGAAGAAACAGATGGAGGAAGCTCAGCGCTCGGTCTTAATTGGGCTCACCATGGTAACGCGCGTGTCTGACAAAGTCTAGAACAAATGCCGATGTGGAAACTCGCGCGGTGCTCACGCCACGTACACCGATGGAAGAGGGTGAAATGGTACAATCTCTGGCTTGCGCAACCCACCAAGTTGCAAGAAAAAAAAATAAAAGGAACATAGAGAAAAATCTTATCTTTAAACGTATTGTGGGATCAGAATATTGACCAAGCGGTGTCCATCAAGAGCAGGTTCCTGCGCTGGCTGGTGTGGCTCAGTGGATGGAGCGCCACCAAAGGGTCATCGGTTCGATCCCCAGTCACAGCACAGGACTGGGTTGCAGGACAGGTCCCCATTAGGGGGCGCTGGAGAGGCAACTGCACACTGATGTTTCTCTCTCTTTTCTCCTTCCCTTCCCCTCTCTAAAACTAAAATAAAATCTTATTTTTTTTTTAAAAAAGAGCGGGTTCCTGTCGCCGGACCCTTGGGTGCCATCTGGCCGCTGCGCCGCTTGCAGGACACCGAGCAACACAGGCTACCGTTTCTCACCGAGCGGAGCACGCTCCTGGGTTCGCTCAACGCGCGTCGACCGCCTGAGATGATACACACGTCACCACCGCAGCGGGTGGCCGGGAAGGGAAGTCCTCGCAGCCGCGACCCGCGAGCAGGGCTCTCGGCGGAACGCAGGGGGCGCTCCAGGGGCACGCGCACGCCCGCGGGGTGCGCGCCGCCCGCGGCCGGCGGCTAAAAGTCGATGGAGATGGACGCCTGCGCCGCGTCCTCTCGGCCGCGCACGTAGATCTCGCAGGGGATCTCCTCCATCACGCGGTCCTCCAGCGCCTGCTCGGGGCACTCGCGCGCCTGCTTGAAGGAGTAGCTGCTCTTCTTGAAGGTGCTGTTGAACGTCTGCATGGGCTGCGGCTGCGCGAAGTCGTTCCGGAACGGCAGCTCCACGGCCGCCAGGTTGGTCCTGTTCGCCCTGCCGCCCCGCCGCCGCCGCCGCCCCCGGCGCCGCCGCCGGGCGCCTGCGCGCCGCAGTGGTGGTCGTGCACGCAGCGCGAGGCCGAGGACGAGCGGCGCAGCTGGTGGTAGCCGTCCAGCTCCTCCGCCAGGTCGGCCAGGTCGGCGGCCAGCTCCTTGTCCCGCAGCGAGAACAGCTCGTAGTGCGGCGGGTCGAACACCTCCTGGAAGCCCGTTTTGTTGAAGGCGCTCTTGCACGCCAGGACCTTCTTGCGGGGCTGCTTCACCTGCACTAGGATGGACACGATGAGGAGGACCAGCACGACCCCCGACGTGACGCCGATGATCGTCCCGTGCGTGCGCGTGATCTGCTCGAAGAGGCCCGCCTGTTTCTTCTCTGCGGAGAGAGAGACACACACACACGGGCGTTGGCGACTCGGGAACGAGTCCCCCACTCGGGCAGAGCAGACACGCGGGTCAAGTACACCACGGACAATGCAATGCACGTTTAGGTTTTAAAATGAAAAGTGAAGTAACCGTGGCAGGAGTTCTGCTTCAACTCCCCAAGCATCACAATAGCAAGAGAGATGGCAGAAACGGAAGAGGACTCAGCTCCGTGCTCGGAAGCCACGGGGGAATGCCGCGAGCAAAGCAAACAAAACACGTGCGTGGAGAAAATGCCAGAACGTACACCCTTGTTCTGTCACCTCGGGCCTCCTGCTCTGGGGCAGGTGTGAGGACGTCCGCGTGTTTCCAGGGACCTCACGGGGGACCTGATGCCCAGACTGGCCCTCCCAGGCCCGCTGCCCCCGGCCACTGCTTCAAAGGGATGATTACGGGAAATACTTCCGGTCTGGTCTTTACGTCTGGTGCATCGGAGTCATTCCCTTTGCACAGGGAGATGTTTATCGAGCCCATGACGAGTAAAAGGCAGATAAACTCGAGCCCTGACACAGTGACCGGGCAGCTGGCGTGCGGACACTGGACGGTCACTACGGCCTGACTTCGCCCTGCAGGACTCTCCGTGGGAAGGAGACGCAGGCAACTTTATGACCTGAACACAAGCCGTTCTCCCAAAGAGCCTGCTTTATGTTGTCAGACCGAATCCAGCCATCGATTTTTGTTAAACCGTGTTTCCATGCAATTTAAAAAATAGTAATCCTCGAGGCCCCTTTCTGAATAATTCTGAGAATAGGGTGTCTCCCCAAGACCAATGACCAACAGACTAAGGGCAAGAATATCATGGCGAACTTTGGAACAGCTTACAATAAAAAGCAGTCTAAGTATTTTTCTTTTCTTTCTTTTTTTTTTTTTTTTTACCACATCCAGAGGTCTATGATCCATTTCAAACAATAGTAACACACAGGTCTCCGTTTCTGCCAAAGCGGCGATCGGGGCGCAGGGGCAGACCAGCACCTGTGACGCGCCCCCCCCCCCCCGCCCCGGGGCTGCCAAGCTCCGTCTGCCCCGCAAGCCGGCGGGCCTCACCTCTGCAGTGGCTCTCGTCCCACGGGTAGGCGCAGTTCTGCACGCCGTTGCAGACCAGGGAGCTGTTGATGCACATGCTGCTGTGGCAGAAGAAGGAGCTGCCCGTGCAGGGCGCTGCGGGGGGAGAGAGAACCGCGCTGCCGAGGCCGGGGAGCACGCGGGCGGCCACGCGCTCCCGTGGACTCATTTCGCGCCGACTGTCGTGGGGTCGCTGTGTTGCCCCAGGGGCCTGCCCCGGAGTCCCCTCTGCGCTGGGCACACAGGGAGACAGGGGGCCAATGATCCCAGATGATGACGCGGGGACATTTCTCCTTACCCTGGCTACCAAAAGGCCACTGTCAGCGTCATGACGATATGGACGCATTTCCCACAGTACACGGCCTGGCACAGTTTTTAAAGCCGTGCAAGGACAATGCTGGAGAGGATGCAGAAGCACGCGAGCCCTTGTGCCCCACGGGTGGGGCCGTGAGATGGTGCAGCCGCTGTGGGAGACGGCCTGGCGGTCCCCACGTGGTCCAGCAACTCCCCCTCCTGGGCTCCACCCAGGAGACTGACAGCAGGAGCTCCGAGGGCTTCCGGAACCCCGTGGCCACAGTGATGCCATTCCCAAGAGCCGCAGGTGGGAACAGCCCCGTGGCTGTGGACCGTGGACAGACAGTCATCTCGTGGGGCGTGCACACATACGCGTGCACACACACACACACACACACACGAGGGAGTGTGACTCAGACCCCAGCATGGAAGGAAACCCCGACTGGCTGCCTGCGCGACGAGCCTGGACAGCATCGTGCTGCGTGGAAGACGCCAAACAGAAGGACCCACGCTGTCTCATCCCACTGGTCTGAGGCGGCCGGAGGACACAGAGTGGAGGTTGCCCGGGAGCGGCGTGAGAGGCGGGCAGGGAGGGGCGTTTGACGGGTCGGAGGCACAGTGCGGGCAGAGAAACCTGCTGGGTGGGCGGGGGGAGGTGGGGGCACAGCGAGGGGGCTGTGCTCGGTGCCGGGGACGTGCATGCTTAGAAATGGTGCATTTCAGGTTGCATAGACTTTAGCATCGGAGCAAAATGAAAATTAAAAACTCTTTGGAATTTCAAATTTAAAAAGTATATAGGCGGGCGGAGGAGGGCAGAGGGGGAAATCTGGGACAACTGTACCAGAATGACAACGAAAAAATAAAGGTACGTGGTTTATGTACCACACACTCTCGTATTTATGTCAGCTGCTCTTTTGGTCTGAAACGACTCCTTCCTTCCCCTCGTGGGGACCTCCTACTCTTCTTCCAGGGTCACCCCAAATGTCGTCCTCTCGGAGGAGAGTCCCCTCAGCTCTCCTACGTGGTCAGGGGCTCCGGCGTGCTCCTGTCCCACTGGAGCCTCCCCTCTGCAGCTCCCTCCTTGCACACATAAATGTGTGTCACTCTGGACTACGACGCGTGTGCTTGCCTCTGTGAGGGAGCAAATCCTAGATTCCAGCAAGAAACCCGCAAGTCAAGAGCTGGGCCAGCTTACTTCCGCCACCTCCGCGGAGGTGTGGTGGAACTCCCCGACTCAGCGCACCCCTGACTCCCATGAACGTGATCAAATGAAAGGCAGCCCCCGCCTAACACGTCCTACATTTCCAGAAAACCCGTTGCATCCAGGAGGAAGGGATCGTTCTGCTGTGAGGCTGCCAGTGGAGCCACCGACCCACCCACAGCCAAGAGAGACGGGCCTGCGTGTGAGCAGCGCACCTGGACCCGGTGGGCAGGCCCCTGCCCGGCCTCGGCTGCCTCTCACATGAGTGGGTGGGCTACAGGCCCCCTCTGGCTTCTGGGGCCACCACCGGGTGAGACTCTGAAGGATCGGAATCAGGCTGACACTGCGGTTCTCGATCTAAGTGTGAGAAAGGAGACATAGCAAGTGACCCACTCTGAGGAGGGCAACCTGTCAACGTCGCACCCCTTAGACTGTCCGGGTACAGTCTACATCAGGAGGCTACGTCAAAGCCACTGGCCGGAGGACAGGAGAGCCGATGAGGGCGGAGGGTGGTATTTCAAGTGCAAGGTCAGCCAGCACGCCGACGTCAGGTGTGCTGTGGGATCGTAAAACCGCATCACAGTTTCAGGGTGTGCGCACTTGACAATGTTTTTTTTGGTTTATTGATTTTAGAGCGAGAGAAGAAAGGAGAAAGGGCCCTGGCTGGCGTAGCTCAGTGGATTGAGCGCGGGCTGCGAACCAAAGCGTCGCAGGTTCGATTCCCAGTCAGGGCACATGCCTGGGTTGCAGGCCATGGCCCCCAGCAACTGCGCATTGATATCTCTCTCTCTCTCTCTTTCTCCTTCCCTTCCCTCTCTAAAAATAAGTAAAATCTTTAAAAAATATTTTAAAAAAAGGAGAAAGGGAGAAATACTGATTTGTTGTACCCCGTATTTACACACTCACGGGTTGATTCTTGCATGTGTCCTGACCTGGGACTGAACCTGCAACCTTGGTGTGTCGGGAGGGCGCTTTAACCGACTGAGCCACCCGGCCAGGGCCGCATTCTGACATGTGACAAATGGCCCGGAGCAGCGATTTCCAGCCGGTGCGCCGCATGAATCTGTAAAATGCGCAGTACCTGACTATGCAGTCAGAGGCACCGGCCTCTTTTCCCTTAGACGGTCAAATAAAAAAACGATGACAGCCAACACAACCACAGCCATCTGGTGCGAATGAATCAAAATTGTACCTGTTTTTTCCTCAGATCAGCAAAAACACATTCTGTGGTGTGCCGCAGAATTTAGTGATTAGTTTACGTGTGTCGTGAGAGGAACAAGTTGGAAATCACAGGCTGGAGAACACGGCGATGTTTAAACTCCTCAGTTCTAGAAGAAGCTGGAGTTTGCTGGGGGTTTTTGGTTTATTTGCTTCTGTATCAGACCAGGATGCCATGGGGCCCAGCACAAATAACGCCCCTCTTTTATGCCAGAACCATAAGCATGTCATTCTGTAACACGACAATATCCCACTCAAGCACACCATATGACACTGTGGGTGGCATGTTCCAGTGAAAACGGTACAGGGTCACACCCACGGTGTCACACTCCAACCGCACGCAAGCCGGCCCCCCCCCCCCTCGCCGGACCCTGTGCTTCGAGCTCTCTCCGAGCACATGTAGAATTCTAATTTCACTGTCTTCTCCCGTTCACAAACGGGGACGCAGGGCGGAGAAGCCATGTTTAAGCTAGGTGGAGGGGGGTTATAAATAGCCCTGGGGCTAACAAGTATTCTGATTGCTTGAGTCAAACTGTCATTAGCTCTTCACGTTTACTCGCAATGCCATTACGGGGCTGCATCTGGGTGGCTCGTGTAGCTTCGAAAGTGGCAAAAAAAAAAAAAAAAGAAGAAGAAAGAGAGACAGGTTTTCTGCTCGGTTTCCCCCAGCGATGGAGCAGTGGGTGGCGAGTACCCGACTTTTACCGGGGAGCTCTGTACACCGCCCTGCACGTTCACGAACCCGGTCACCGTGGCGCCGACCCCGGCGGCTTCTGTTTGGAGGGCGTGCGAGTCAGCTCTGTCGTGACAAGTGGATTAAACTTCATGGACTTCCGATGGGCGAGCGCAGCTGCCGGCCGGGTGTCTGCTATCGATGTGGCTGCTGGGGATACGCGTCAGTGGAGAAGTACACGGAGGGACAGAGGCAGGAGGAGCAAAGCTAGCAGCCGGTGAGGAGCTGCTCCCGACCCCCGGGCCCGGGGTTCCTGCCCCCTCTCTGGCCTGCGGGTCCTGCCTGGGAGAGCGGAGGCGCCGGCGCTTCAGCTCCACGTTTGATGCGGGAGGCAGGCAGTCAGGGAGGCGGCTCTGTCCTCCGGCGCAGCCCTCGGGGCGCCTGTCAGCCGTGTGTCACTGGCAATCACATTAGGGGCTGATTCCGACAGAAATACCTTCTCCGGCTTTCACGGTGCCAGTCCTAGAAACCGTCTTCCTCAAACCACGCCGTTCCTGAAGAGCAAGGCGCGAGCCCCCATCCTGAGCTCGGGAGGACGCCCAAGGCATCCTGGCCGCTGTTCTATTTCGGTCCCCAGAGCCGCGCGCTCCTATTTCAGTCCCGGTGGCAGCCTGCCACGGCCGGTCTGCAGTGAGTCTCCGGTGCAGGGCAGGCCCGTTTGCCTAAACCTGGGCTGAACCCGGGGCTGCTCCGAGGCTGGGTTCCTAACGGCCACCAATTGCAAACAGCTCAGAGAGGAGCAAGAGAGGTAGTTTCCCAACCTGGATTAATGAGACGCATGTAAAATGTCTGAAGCTCTCAGATGTGTATATTGGAAGGAGATCTTCACACGGGAACTTTTGTAAAAATTTATGGAACATTTTGATGCTCCTTTGATCTACTTTGGTATTAACGGAAACATCAAAGAATTTTTCACATGCGATTTAGGCTAGTGCAGCGCCGAATCAAAGTGAGGCTGTGTAAGGCTAGGAGGCTGCGGAAGAAAGGCTCGCAGCTGGCGGAGGGGCTCGTGGGGGTTGAGGGTGGAGGGCGTCTCCACACCACGAAGGTGCCAGGGGAGGCGGAGGCGGCACGGTCTCCGGGAGATCCGGCTGCGACAGTGCAGGAAGGCGGCTGCAGCAAGCGGCAGGTCTTCCGCGCAGAGAAAAGAGCCTTCTGTCGGAAGAAGTCGCCAACTCGGCGTTGGGGTTCACCTAACCAAACCACACACGATGTACCTGGCGAGGCAGTGCCCCCACTTCCGGGAGTCCTCCTGAGGACACACCTCCGAGAAGATACACACACACACACACGCACAACATTATTCTTTGGGACCCAGCCTGTAAGTGCAAAGCATTGGAAATGACCTTCGTGCCCGCACGCAGGAGACGGACCGAACAAGCATGCAGACGGCCACTTCTGCACAGCGACCGAAGGAAGGGGGGCCCCTCGGAACGAGCGTGGAGTGCGTTCCAGGACCCATCGTGCAGTGTGTAACACGCTTCCCCTCAGGGAAGAAAAACAGGGACACGAGCACATAGGCAGGTGTCAGGAAGCTGGAGAGAGAGGGGAGGGGGGGCTACAGGGGTGGGGAGGGGCCACACGCTGAGGGAGAGGGGAGGCCGGGGAGGCTCTTTCCCTCCGCATAGCTCTCCCCACCACTGTCTACGGCGGATGATAAGGGAGGGTAGCAATTTCTGCACGAATGTGGCTGCTTTACCCACGACAGCACCTTAGGAAGAGGGGAGGACTCTGTTACTTCTTCACCCTGAAACTTGCAGGCTTTATCAAGGGAAACGCTCCGTAACTGTATCTGAGCGGATGGAACTGACACGAAACTGACGGCAGGGCGTGGGGGAGGGGGTCTGCCGGTACTTACGCTCCACGAAGGAGGTGAAGAGCATCCGGAACCTGCTGAGCCGGCTGCCCTCGTCCGCCCACATCCGGATCACGCCGACCCCGGTTTTGAGCGTGACGTCATTGGCCACCGTGCTGCAGAACTTGGCCTTGAGGTTTTCGATGGAGCTGCTCCCGTCGTAGACGGCCACGAAGTTCCTCTTGCACTCGTTGGAGTGCTCCATCTGGTAATCCAGGAACCTCAGATAAATCTGCGGCGGAGACAAAAGAACACGGCTGCTCGAGAGACGCGTGGACCTGAATTCTCCCGTCTGCCGCGGGTCCACGCGGGAGATCAAACTGCAGATCAAACTGCGTTATAACAGCCGGCGGGAAAACAGCGGAGAAGCGGCCGACCAGAACCATGCGCTCAGGAACCCAAACTCCGTCTGCAAGGAGAAGAGACTTTCTGCTCCACGAGGCCCCACTGTGGCACGTGTTTCCCTCATGAGAGCAATTGCACGGTTATTGACAGGTTGGGAAGAAATAATCTGCCCGCTACACCCTCCCCTTGGACCGCCCTCGCCCCCAACGTGCATTCTGGGTAATGCTCTCCGCCTCCCTTTCGGTAACTGCACTGCACACCTGCACGAGTTCTAGCTGGTTTTTGTTGATTTTTTTTTTATAGTTGGTTATTTTTTGAGTGTCCCTGGCCACTGTCCTCGCTCGCCCCTTGGGCCCCTCCCCCGAGGGTGTTTAGGGTCCGGCACACTGTCCGAGTGTTGCGTCCGCCCTGCGGGCGCCGCGGTGGGCCGCCCCCTGGCGTGCGCTCCCGCCCAGCCGGGCTCCATCCGCCACGGCCCCGTGGCCTCCACGGAGAGTTACTTTGTTTTTATTTCTGCCACGTGCCTCAAAGGTTGTGTGAGCCCGGCTCCGTTTTGTTCATTTCGGGGCTCAGGGACTCCTGGGTTGAACACGGACTGCGAATTCCTGTCTCAAACCGTGAACGAAGACAGGGCTGGAGGTACACAGACATAGGGGAGACCCCAGACGCCCCCACCCGGAGACCCAGCCCGGGAAGATGAGCTCCCTGGCTATCCACTCGTGTTGGCGGAAGGATTTTTCCAGTTGGACATTCACGGCAGCCACGTCCCTCTGCGGGTTCCTGGTTTACCTTGAGGGGTGTCGGCCACAGAGGTCACCTGAACCCCAGGCCTCACTGTACCGGTCTCCGTGTGGCTGTTAACAGCACGCCCCTGCCCCGGCCGGGTCATCAGCCACTCGTCACACAGCAGCGGGCATTTGTACCCGCCACTGCAGCTGTCAATTTACCGCTGGAGGGTCCAGTTCTCTCCCCTCCTCTCTATTCCGTAACAATTGTGTCTTCTGCCGGAAGCTCATCGATGCTTTGAAACAAATCTGTTACATTTGACCCGACACTGCCCAGTGCTCGTCACAGGTGCGTTTCTCGTTTTCTACTCTGTCCCATTAGCCTGACGGTAAACAGGGTTTTCATAATTTCTAAAAGGTGTGCTCCCCCTCTCTATTCTGTTTTTACACATGTGCATATAAATATAACTTTAACTCTGTCAACTTCCTAGAAGTATAAATTCAAAGCAAAAAAACAGGAGCAGTGAGCAGCCCGTCTCCATCTGTCTGTTCCTTAGAAACCCCGTCCTGCACGCCCTGCGGGAAGCTCTGCGGGGGGGGGGGGGGGCGCAGCCGAGCGGGGGGCACACACTAGCGGGGGGCGCACACTGAGGGGGAGCAGCCTAGCAGGGGGTACAGACAAGCAGAGCAGGGACTCGGCACCCAGACCACCTGCCGGTATGTGGGTTCTGACGCGCTCTGAGACCTTTGACGAGACGCTCTGACTTCTTGTGACCCAATATTCCTTCTCCTCACAAAACGTTTTAAATGCACCCATGACCAGGGATGACCCCCCCCGGTCCACACTTGCACGCTTCAATTAGGAACCCGCACGTTTTTAAGACCTTAAGATTCTGAAAGTAAGAACCTTCATGCGCGTGTGATACTTCTGAAACGTACACTGTGGCTTATCTCATGGTAACCATGCTGAGATCTCAAGAGGTACGTAATCACGGGACAAAAACAAATTTTAAGAAGTTGTGAGGCAGCTCACAGAATCAGTGAGTATCGGCATAAAGCGAAACAAGTGCATCGTGCGAATCACGTCTCCCGTTCCCTCTCGGCAGGGCCCCGGCACCCGGCCGCACCTTGGCCTTCGGCGTGGCCCGGACGGTCCAGATGCAGTCCACCGCCTGGCCGGGCTTCGTCTTGTCCTCCTGCTCCACCTGGCTGGAGCGCACGATGCCGTCGGCCCCCGAGAGCTCGAACTGGCAGTCTGCAAGCGACAGAGGGACACGGTCAAGGGGAAGGAAGACCGGCGGGACGCGGCGTGAGGAAAAAGAGGTAATATACTAAACCTGGGATGGGGTTTAAAATACCTCCTAGGTACGTAAAGTCTGGATCTGGAACAGAAAAAAAGCAGAAGGTCATTGGCATTCGGAGACACGGTGCTGGTCACTTTAAGCTTTGACGTCTCACGTTACGGCTAACGGTGCGTGCGGTGACAACGCCAGGGAGAACTTTCTGCTTACAGACCGGGGAGCACTGGTTACTTATGAGCAACTCCGGACGCTCACGGATAGGATGAATGTTTTTTCTAAAGGTGTTATTTATTTATCTTTTAGAGACAGGGGAAGGGAGAGATAAAGCGAGAAGGAGAAACATTGACTGGTTGCCTCTTAAACGCGACCCGGCTGGGGACTGAACCCGCAACCCAGGCATGTACCCTGACCGGGAATCGAACTGGTGACCTTTTGCTTTGTGGAACTGTGCTCCAACCAACTAGGCCACACCGGCCAGGGCAGAATCAATGTTTTTAAGTGATGATGTATATACTTTCGATCCCATCCTGAATTAATAACTTAGTTTTGCTTCCTGAAAACCCCCTACTCCATCAGTGGCCGCAGGCAGCCCGCGGCGGGCGGATGAACACAGTGTGGTCCGTACGATACGACGAGTATGGTTATTATTCAGCCTTAAAAAGGAATGACATTCTAGCATCCGCTACAGTGTGCAGGAACCCTGGGACACGGCTTGGTGGAACAACCAGATGCTACAGGCAGACACTGCAGGACTGCACTCACGTGACATGCCCAGACTGGCCCAGGGCAGAGACAAGGGGGGCGGGGACTGGGGACGAGTGTTTCAAGGGGACACAGTTCCAGCTTGGGATGACCAAAACCTTCTGCACGTGAGTCCAGCGGTCGTGGTGGCCGCCCAACACTGGGGACGTCCTTAATGCCGATAACTCGTGTGCTCCCGAAGGGTTAGAATGATACATTGTACGTTCTGCTGTTGCCTAGCGGCAGGGGAAGGAAGAGGACCGGGTGGGATGCAGGGTCTTCTGCCCTGTGGAGCAGTTGGTAGGAGACTCAGGATACCGGTTTATGTTAAAACAACTGATTTAATTAAATTGTCAGAGTTTGGTTTTAGTTTTAATCCTCATCTGATGACACATTTATTGATTTTAGGGAGAGAGAAACATCGATTGGTTGCCTCCTGTATGTGCCCCGACTGGGGACCGAACCCGCAACCTAGCTGTATAGTGCCCTGACCGGGAATTGAACCCACAATCTTTCCGTGCATGGGACGGTGCTCAACCAACTGAGCCAGGTCGGCCAGGGCGTCGCTTTGATTTTTATGAACTAAATCCAATGAACTGCGGTAGGTGATACTCGAGTGTCAAAAACGCCCGTCATGAAATCCTGCCCATGAATCAGATCTTTGCAAATGTACATCAAAAACAATGGCCTTAATTATTTGGACAATGATTTAAAATATTAAACAAAATCAGGCAACTTTATACGTAAAGATTTTTGCTTTGAAGAAAAGTAGCTCTTTCTCTGTGAGCTGTCTGTATGCATCAGGAGAGCAACCTTCTGCGGCTCGCAGTTAAAATGTAACCAAATTAGAACAAAGTGCTTAGGACCTCCAGACCGCATCACCTTGCATTTGCACTTCACAGTGTTTCCAGGTCTGACATGCATCATGTTTAATGTCATGCTAATGAGAGCAGTGTCAGGAGGACGAGGTGCTATTCCAGTTTACAAATGAGCATGAAACGGAGTCAGAGAGACGAGGGTTTTCTCAGGTCGAATTGGCGGCAGAGCCGGGGCTCCGATCCGATTCTCTGCACACACGCACGGTTCTTCTCCCCCTGCCCCGTGGGGGAGGATGCCATCACCCTGCCACCGAGAGGAAAGAACACCACGTCGCAATAAATAGGCAACGCGTAACTAGCTGAACTACGGCTGTCTAGTTAAAATCATATTTATGAGATATATTTTGTCTAGGAACTGGTAAATCTGGAAGAAGCCTACTAGCAATGATGGGAAATTAGTTAAAAAAAAAAAAAGAAATTCCTAAGCTGCCAGCGATGTCTGTTGAGACAGGGCCTCCTCACGGATTGCCGCCTCCTGGCGAGGCCTGTCCAGGAAGTGACCAGCTATGGACGGTGAAAAACAGAGGCATTTAGTGAAGACGATGCCGGGTACAAGAAGCACTGTGCACAGGACAGTGACGCCTCGGTCCCCTCCAAAGCAGGCACCTTGGGACCTCACAGGTTTCCCAATGGCCATCAGCAGCTCTGTCATATTTTCCTGAAATTCACCTCCAGTCTGGAATCCCTTCCCTTTCAAAGGTGATTTTAGTTCTGGGAAAAGCCAGAAGTCACAGGGCACCAAATCTGGGCTGTAGGGGGGCTGAGTCACCTGGGTGACTGGATGCTTCCCCAAAACGCTGCGCACGAGACGTGATGCGCGAGCAGGCGCGCTGTCGTGATGAGGCTGCCAGTCACCGGTTGCCATAGCTGCGGCCTTCTGAGTCACCCGCAGGCTTCCCATGGAGGACTGCTGAAGCTTAACGCAAAACTGGATGCAGGTCTGCTGCTCTGCGCCCCAGGTGGCAGACATAAGGCCTGCGGGCCCTCCACCCTGTTGTATCCGGCCTGGCACCTTGTCTCTCCCCGGCGGCAGCGCCGAGCTCTCGCTTAATTGCTAAGGCGCAGCTACATGTACGCAGTCCTGAAATGACATTCAGCCCTCTGAAGGCAACCGTGAGGCTGATGTGGCCCCCGGTGACAATGAGTCTGACACCCCTGTTCGATACACTCAGTCATCTTGAACGTGACGGCCACACAGTACGCTTGCTCACTCAACAGGTGTCTCCCGCCCCCGCTGACGAGTGCAGTGCAGCCGACACTGTCCACACACGCGTTCCAGTCCCCTCTTCTCGGCTGCCGGTGACACCGAGGCTGTGCAGACCATTCTCGTTGTGCTGGCCACGGCAGACTCTCTCAGGACAGCCCCCGTACGTGTGTGACCGGGCTGATCCTGGGGGTGTCAGCGCAGTGAGGACCATGCCCGAGAACGCCTGCCCACCCGGGAGAAATTCTGGTGTGTGCCAGAGGGCCTCTACGACTTTCATCCCAATGCTGTTGGAAACTCCAATGTCTCTTTGACAGGTGTCTGCAGAAGAGCTGGGGTGTCTCGGCCCCCCCGTCGCTGGGTGGGGTGCACTGAGTCGGAGAACAGCCTCTGAGATGTGATCTCAGCGAAGCCCCCAACTCCCCTCCTACTATTTTCAATATGGAATCTCACGACCAAGCTAACTAATGACCGAGCTAAAGGATAAGCAGCTTTAGCAAGAATCTAGCACCCAGTTACACACAATCAACTATATATTAAAATCGGTTTTTCCTAGCTGGTGGGGCTCTGTTGGTTGGAGCGTCATCCTGTAAACCTAAAGGTCGTGGGTTCGATTCCCAGTCAGGGCACATACCTGGGTGGCGGGTTTGGTTCCCAGTTGGGGCACATGCAAGGGGCACGTGATCGATGTTTCTCTCGCGCGTGGATTTTTCTCACTCTCCCTCCCTCCCCCTCGCTCTAAAATCAATAAGCACGTCCTTGTCCTCAAGTGAGGACGAAAGGAAGGAAGGGAGGGAGAAAGTCTTAAAATATCTGCCATATGCTAAGTGTGCTAATTGCTAAAATAGGTTCTGTGGTGTCATTAAAGATCCTGAGGCAGTTTAGACTAGCAGTTTTTTCACTAGGGCAGGTTGGTGCGTGGAGGTCCTACCTACATTTTCCAGTGAAGTTCTTTAAGGCGCCTGCTTGTGATTTTTAAACATCTGTCTTTCCTGTAGTTATATATACATGTTATATATATATGTTAAATATATATGTATACAGTTATAGACATATATGTACAGTTACAGACATATATGTGTATAGTTATATACAGATACGTATATATAAACAGATATGCACATATATGTATATACGTATATAGTTATAAACATATATATAAATGTTATATATATATAACCATGTCGAAGAGGGCAGGTCGGTGGAAGTAAGTGCACCCACTGCGCTGTGCTGCCCACACCCCATCACCCACTTACGCAAAAGTTAAAGACATTTTTAATGTGACCCAGCAGCTGTGTGGCTTGGTTAAAACCTTCTCCACCCCAAACCCGAACATGGATGTTTAGAGCAGGCTCATTCATAACTGTTAAAACTTAGGAGCAACCGCGATGTCCTACAACAGAATGGATAAACACGCGGGCCCACCCGGGCCGTGGGACACCCTTTGGTGTTAAAAAGAAATGCATCATTTGAAGCCACGAAAACATAAGGAAGAACCGTGAATGCACGTTACTGAGCGAGAGAGGGCCACACCCGGTGTGATTCCAGCCCCACGGCCTTCCGGAAGGGGCAGGGAAAACCAGCGGCTGCCTGGGGCCGGGCCGGAGGGATGAGGAGGCGAGCACGGGGGTTTTCAGGGCGGTGAAGCCCCTCTGTGCGCTGACGGAACTCCCCAGGACACCCACCAGGTTGTAACAATTGCAGTGAAACTGCTATGAACAGCCACACGCAGGTTTTGTGTGGAGAATCTATCAGACAAAGTCTATCGGGTACTTGTTAATTTTTGAAAATATTAGACTATTGGCATTGAAAATCTAAGTAACAAAGTGACACTTAAAATTCCTATAATACATTTAAGTCAAGGAAAAAAATGTTGAGTATGCTGCCCTGGCTGGTGTGGCTCAGTGGACTGAGTGCAGGCCTGTGAACCAAAGGGTCGCTGGTTCAATTCCCAGTCAGGGCACAGGCCTGGGTTGCAGGCCGGCTCCCCAGTAGGGGGCGCATGAGAGGCAACCACACACTGATGTTTCTCTCCCTCTTTCTCCCTCCCTTCCCCTCTCTCTAAAATTACTAAATAAAATCTTTTAAAAAAATAGTTGAGTATGCTGTTCAGGCCAAAACAAAACAAAACAAAAAACCCCACAGGTAATATACTTGTGTGTACACAAAACAAACAAACAAGGAGGTACGGAAAACATCCGAAGGGACGCTCGCCGAACTGCTAGCACCAGTGTTTTATAGAGAGAATGGTTTCGCTGTGGACATTTTCTTTTCATTCGGATGTTTTCATTTCTTTCAATTAACACATTTCTCGCACGGAAGCCTCAATAAAAGCAGAAGGATTGCACGCTGGTTACACTACGTTACTTTGTCTCCTCGCTCCGGCAACAGCGTGTCTGTGTGTTTCCATCAGGGACGCGTGTGCCTGCACAGCGCACGAGGCCTCCCCGGTCTCCCCGTTCAAGGGCCAACGTGACCCAATTCTCCCTTCCGCAGCCTTCGGGCGCGACGCGCAGACAGGGGGCCTACTCAGCGGGCGGGCGGGCAGGACGGCTCCTCACCTGGAATGAAGGAGTACTTCGCGCGAAACCCCATGCCCTCGAGCTCTTCGTCGGAACTGAACTTGACCCACATGAACCTCCCGGTCGACCGGATCAGCGGGGGGCTCCTCACGCCGCAGAACCGGTCGATGAGCGGCGAGAAGCCGAAGGGCCCGTCCCGGACCTCCAGGTGGTCGAACCGGCACTCGAAGGACGGCTCGATGTAGAAGTGCTCGTCGAAGGCCAGCTCTATCCTCTGGCGCGGGGCGGCTGGAAGACAGGGCGAGCGGGTCAGGGCAGCGCGCAGGGGGAGAAGGGGCAGGGTCAAAGCCACGGGGCTGCTGCCCTGGCCGCTTCCTGGCCGGGCACTGTAACGGGATGTTACGCATTCAGTTCTTGATCAATGTTTATTTTACGTGAATAATAATGGTGCCTTGTGGAACTAGAGCAGTCTTTCCCTTTGGCCTATGCTATTCGTGAAACTAGTGCAATGTCTTCAACTGATTAAAATGATAGTCCAGCCCTGGCTGGTGTGGCTCAGTGGATTGAGTGCCGGCCTGTGAACCAGAGGGTTGCTGGTTCGATTCCCAGGCGGGGCACATGCCTGGGTTGTGGGTCAGGTCCCCAGTAGGGGGTGTGACAGAGGCAGCCACACACTGATGTTTCTCTCCCTCTCTTTCTCCCTCCCTTTCCTAAGATTAAATAAATACAATCTTAAAAAAAAAAATTACACTCCAAAAGCTAATGCTTGGTTGATGAGGTACAATGCACCACAATGCACAGAAAAATAGAAGAAATGAAAGGAACTAATGTAATTATGGGCATGAATTTGCATAAAAGCCTAATAAGAGATGCCAATTAAGTTTCTTATCAGAGAAACTTCTCATATACACTGATGCATGTAGATAAATTATATCTCAAGAGATTCAAAATTCCTACATTATTCTAACTCTAATCTTGTTAATGTGTTCAGTATTCAGGAATATTTACAATTACTAGAGTTCAATTCAAATACACGTTCAATTTTGTTCAAATTGGTTTAAATGGGTCATTTTACCAGCGCATTTAGTCTTCCAACGAAGTAAAAGTCGCTGAGTAAAAGGCAGAACCTGGCCACGCACCTTCCAGGACGTAGACGCACTCCCTGTTCGGCGGGTAGGAGTCAGGGTAGCTGGGGGACGCGAAGTGCCCTCCGTTGCTGGTTCGAACCCAGACGCCACACTGGGTGGCGGGGAGGTGCCTCATCCCGATGTTCTGTCCATCTTAGGGAAACACAGCAGACCAGAGAGTCACAGCACAAGAGGACGGGGCCCCTCCCTGAACCCCAGAGCTTCCCTAAGGACCGCCCGCCCTGTTACACACACGCACACACACACACACACGTGCACACATACACACATGCATGCACACGCACACACACCCACAGAAGACACAGGCGTGAGCCTAGGCAGCCTCTGCGCGGAGACCCCTGGGAGGGAAGTCCTCGGACCCCGCAGGGGCCCAACCACTTGGGAGAAGCCGCAAAGTCAGTGAAACGATAAAACTCAGGTCCGACATGAAATGAAAAGGATCCCAGGAGCTCAGTCTGACACAACGTCCAATCGGATTCGAGGCTTCCGAGGGGGTTTGAAAGGCTGTAGACTGGACACACGCATTTAGCTCTGACTTTGCTTCCTCAAAGTCGGCTCGAACAACCATACGGGGTTCTTTTCTGAGGGCATAAGCCCCCAAGGGGCAGGCAGCGGTGACAAGCAGCGGCAGCAGCCCCCAGTCCAGGTGTCTGGACCGGGGGCGGGGGGGGGGAGGGGGGGACAGCAGAGAGGTGGGGCTTTCTGAGAACTTGCAGCTCTGTTCCAGTCTATTTAGAGTCCGTCTGGGCTCTAACGCCTCCCCCACACACCGAGACTTGTAGCTCTTCCATGGCATCAGAAACGAGAGGCTCTCCTGGGACGGCATAGCACTGGGTGACCGGGCGAGATGACACCGGGCATGGCTGTGGATGGCCACGCTGGACAGGGCGGTGAGGTCAGTGCCGACCTGCTGACCGACCCCCGCCTCCCCCACGGCTCCGCAGAGGCTCCACGCAGGAGACGGGAAGCCCTTCCCTCCCTGGGGGCTCCGTGAGCCCAAAGGAGAAGACCCAGCAGCACAGACGCAGGGGCGGGGCCCGCTGTCCCTCGCCAGGGTGCAGGGGCAGCCCCCGACCACTCCTGCAGACAGTGCTGGGGGGGGGGCGGGGAGAGGTGGAATTCTTGCCCCACGTATTCACGCATCACTGGTTGATGCCTGCCTATGCCCCGGCTGGGGATCGAACCCCCCACCTTGGCCTATCGGGATGATGCTCTAACCAACTGAGCCACCCGGCCAGGGCCGGCAGTGGTAGATTTTAGTGCTTCTCTCGTACATATGGGCAGACAGCCAAAGGTCACGAGACATTCGAGGAAAGCCTCTAATAGGAAAAACAGATAATACACGAACAAACAAAGAAGCAACACCAAGGAAACAAAGATTACGTACAGAAACGTTACAACAACAAAGACACACAGCGACGGCCACACCACACAGAACTACCCTCTCGTGCCCTCGGACAACGGGAGAGCACGCCCACAGAACCAGGGCGAGGACACGGGGAGCCTAAAGAGGGGGTGCAAACAGCAGCGGGAGGGGAGTGCAGGGGCCTGCCCGCCGGGGCCCTGGCCCGATCGGGCCGGCCGCCGGTGATTCCAGGTGACATTTTCCTGGACCAGGTCCATGTCCACTCAGGGGCCCGCTGTCAGCGGCTCTCCCACGATGGCAGCAGAGGAGAGGGAAGGAGGAGGGAGGGACGCATTTCCCGTGTGGAAAGACGACCTTTTCAGGCTGAACATGCCCGCTGAGCGTCCTGGAGTAAGTCCCCGGCTCGGACGTAGCCGGAACGAGGGCGTGATAGCGGGGAGACGGGGTGCAGACTGGGAAGGACTGCGTGCCCAGAGGGGGGGGCGGCGGGGAGGGGCTGGCGAGCCCCGTCCCCACCTCCCACCTGGGGGGGAGTCGTCCCCTGTGGCCACCCCCCGAGTGACGAAGAAGTGGCAGGAAGCACCTTGCTTAGAAACAGGCAGGAAACGCCCAGAGTCACCCCAACCGTGGGCGTGGACGGCCGGCCTCCGGAGGGGACGTGGGCGAGGGCGGGGCGGGGCACCGTGTCTTCCTGGCTAACCGTGGGGAACGCTCGGATTTTTGTCCTGTGCACCCACAACTTGGATGGACAGGAGCAGCTAAATGGGGTTATACCAGAAATCACTCGGCTCTCCCGTGAACCACGCTCACGGGTCCTCTTTCATAAACAAGGGGACAGCGTGACCGGGTCCACAGGGCTTTGAACACGACGCCGGTGGAAACACACCGCCTGCCTGCGTGGGGAACTGGGTCTGCCTTTTTGCTCAGGGATAAAAGCACCCACCCCTGCAGCTTTCGGACGAAAGCCGAGGCGTGCTCGGGGCTCCCAGTGACGCTGGTTTGGGAGGTTTCTCCGGGTGGACTTCACCTTGACCACGCACCCGAGGGAGCTGCAGCGGGACCCAGCTAAGTGGGGGCGGACAGCCGGACAGAGAGCCTCAGGCCATTGGACTCCCCCACCCCGAGGAGGACGGAACCAGCCCCCCAAAGCCGCAGCCCTTTCAGAGAAGCCTCCCCCCGCCGCCCCGGACGTGCCCGCGGCCCCCGCCAGCGCCGTACCTTGCGTCTTCTGGGCCACGGCGATCCCTTCCACCACCAGCACCGTGACCAGCAACACTGGGGGGACAGCAGAGAAGCACAGTTACGGAGCTGAGCCCGCCTCACGTCTGACTCAGTGTGGAGGGAGGCTCGGACGGCAGAGCACGAGGAGTCAGAACCACTCTTTCCTGCTAACGCCCACTGTGAAGGTTTTCAACGGCTCAGCGTTACGTGCTGGTTAACCCTTCGATGCTTAAGACAACCCCAGAAAAAACATGCTGGATACAGTTGTGCAAGCCCCGAGCCCACACGGCGTGCAAAGTCTCTGTCAGCTTACGACGGGTTAAAGGAATGCATGCTTTTTTCACGACCAGTGTGCAGACCCCGATCATTCTCGTATGGACTCCCCTCCACCCCGAAGAGCCCGCGGGCATCACGGCCAGGCCCTGCCGCGCAGCACGCCAGGACACCTTCCGCAGACGGCCCGGCTGCTGAGAACACGTGTACCTCACACGGAAGGAAGGGGGCAGCAGTCTCCCAGAGACGGGGCCGGCGTGCTCCAGCGGTGCCCTGCCAGGCTGAGCCCTGCGCTACAAGAGCTAGAGAGCGAAGGGAACAGAGCTCCCCCCCCCACCTCAGATCGAACATTTCTGAGACCCAATCAACGCCGTGATGAATTTTACGTGTTTTGAAGGTTCTTTTAGACGTCTTACTTTTATGAACAGTGTGCACTGGTCTCCTTCACGATGCGTCTGAACGGTAGTCCCGCTCCCTGCCAGCCTGCCCTGAAGTCCGGGGCGGCCTGGAGATGCCCTGACTCGTTGGGTCGATGAGCACTTGCAGACAGCGGGCCCCGGGGGACACACGACGTGGACCGCAGGGGCCGGGTGGGACCAGGCCGGGGTTCCAGGTTTGCCGCGCCCCAGCCGCGGGGCCTGTGAGCCCGGTTTTCCTACTATGCAAACGTGGGGGGGGGGCGTTGCCCTAATATCATGAACCCTGTAAGGTGCTCGTGAAGACGAACGGGACGATGACGCACGGGGCACTTTTTGAGGGCGAGGTGCGCTGCGGGAAGGCGGGAGGTGTGGGGACAGGCTGCCCTCCTGACGGAGCCAGGCCGCTGCCGTCAGAGCCGCTGTCCAGTGCAAGGGGGAGAGGGGTCGGCGTTCCCGCAGAACGCGAGACGGAGGCAGAGGAGGCCCCGTGTGGTCCGCTGCGGCTGGAGACGAACAGGGTGGGGACAACGCAGGAAGAGGCGGCATAACCTGCCTGGACCTCCCGGGACACGGGTCCGGGAGAGGGAGGAAGCACCGGCTTAGACCCAGGCAGCGGTGCGGGCACTCGGGGGCGTGAGCGGGCGGAGGGAGGCGGCTGGAAGGGGTCAGAGGAGACCCGGTGTAGGGGCGCTGGGTGCCGCGCCGCAGAGCTCGGACTCCTGGCCGTCAGGAGCAGCCACTGTGGGTCTGTGAGTGAGAGCGACATCCGACCTGTGATCCGGACAGCGGGGCGGAGTCTGCGAGGGTGAGGAGAGGAGAGCAGGTCCCGCAGGGAGGGGACACCCAGGTGACAAGGTCTCCAGCAGAGTGGTGGTGGCGGACACAGGGAGTGTGTAACACGATTCAGATGCAGAGTCTGATGAAGTCGGCGCGGGACAGGAGGGGAGGGCGAGGCGGCCGGCCGAGTCACCGGAGGTGGCGCTCCGCCGCAGGCCCCGCGCGTCCGCCCCCAAAGTCACCAGCGGGCACTGGCAGTCCTCGCCATTCAGCTGTTTATGTCTTATAACCCAACCCCTTGTCCTCTTCATCTCTGGTCTCCTGCATCCCGGCCGACCTTTGTCCCCGACCTCTGTCTCCTCTCAGTGACTTTAAGGTCCCCTGTCTCCTTCCTCTGGCTGCCAGCGGCGTCGAAGATCCCGTGTCCCGGAGCAACAGCCCTGCCTTCACACTCTTCGCAGCTTTGCGCTGGCCGGAGTTAGAGGAGTGGGATCTCGAAACATGCGTACGCTTAGGAACAGGAGATTTACGATCGAGAGGGACGCCCAGGGTCCCGTCAGATCTCTGACGACCCAGTTGTATCAGTGTGTCTGGTCGGAGGAGGCCAGCTCCCGGGGCTCACCGCTCAGACGACGGGAAACGGGCTGGAACCGTGTCCTCAGCGTCCTCTGCTCCGCAGTCCCAGGCTCAGCCCCTGGCCGGTCTCCGTATTTATAATTCACAGGGTGTCAGCAAGTAACGCAAAGCCAGGCAGAGAGGGCGAGGAAGAAACCAACGTGCCGAAGACCAGGAGAGACACAGCAAAACTACGGCAGGGAGATGCGCCGCGACAGGAAAACCCTACTCCGCAGTGACCGGTGAAGTGTGGGCCGTGTAAAATACCCGGTTTATGAAATCCACACAGGATGCACAAGGCAGGCAGGACAGTCGTCATGAAGCTAACGCTACAAGACCAAATGCACCTGCGTTTCTCTCCCACTTTCTGCAGAGGGCCGCCCCCCCGCCCCCGAGTTGAAAAAACCACTCGCAACCGAGCCACACGGGCCGGGCCGGTCAGCGCGAAAATGGTGCATGAAGACCCGGGCCAACGGGCAGGGCGATGGAGGACGGAGCTGTGACGATCCGTCACTCGTACTCCTCATCGTGACAGTCTCCTCCCAGTCCCGTGACAGGACCTCTGCAAACCCCCCGTTCTCCTCGGCCAGCTCGCCCCACGGCCACACCTCACCCCGCCGGGACCACGGGAAGCGCGGCCTTTATTCCGGACGACTGTGCGCTCGGCGGAAACCCAGAGAACTCCTGGGGGGTCCAACGGAGACGGGGAGGCGGCTGCTGCTGCCCCAGACACTTAGCCTGCCCTGCTCCCTGCTCCAGTAGCCAGGGATCCTTTCAAACAGAGGTCAGACCCCACCACGGCCTTTGGCCTTTCAAATTGCCGGGCGGAGCCACATTACACTGCGAGTAAATCCAGACCCCGCCCCCCGGCTGCAGAGGCCCCGGGGGGGTCTGGGACCCGACTGCCCGGGACCTTCCGACGGCCACCCATGGCTGCCCGGGCGTCTCTCCCCTGTGGCTCCAACAGACCGAGCCCGCTCCTGCCTCAGGGACGAGCTCGCCTGCCGCCAAGACCTCTCCGCACAGCGGGCTCCTTCCTGCTGTCTGGGCCTTGGGGGGCCTTCCCGACTTCCGAAGAAGCTACATGTTTCCGCCCCATCCTGTTTTATTATACAAGGAATTACCTATTCTTATCGCTTACGCTGGCTGCATTCCTCGTCGTTTCTCCGGCTCTTCCTGCCAGAAAGAGGGCCTGGGGAGTCTGCCGCACCACTGACGCCCTCCCAGGGGCCAGAAGGCAGGCTGCCTGGCCCCCCCAGTCCTCAGGAAACTCCGGAGGAAGACAGGAGGGGCCTGAGTGTGACCCCCGGCACGCCTCCTTGGCTGCGCCCAGGCCACACAGGGCACACCTCTTGCGCGACAGCCGCAGCCCCATGAACCGGCTGCTTTCTGCAGGAGCACAAGCCAGGGGGCGGGGAAAGAGCTGGTTCATTTTCCTTCTCCGCTGCTCAGCCACTCACGCCTCTCGCTGGTCCCCAGCTGGCTCCGTTTGCCTTTGTCCGTGACTGGCCGCGCTCGCATTAAGCACCTAAGTGGTGAACGTGGGGTCTGTAAAGTCTAGCGGGGGACGCCAGAATGCAGCCGCCGCCGCCCACCGGGTCCCCCGGCTCCTTGCCCTTCTCCACAAGGAGAGCGGAGCAGAGGTAGTTCCGCCCGAGTCCACAGTGCGTCTCGAGCCGCGGAGACTTGCTTTGACTAGGGTACGTGTTAGTTCTTTGACCAGGAAGACGTGAACCGTTAGAAAGGGAATCCAAGAAAACAATCTCATCGACTATGGCAACAGCGGAAAAAAAAAAAAAACAACCCCTAGGAATAAATTTAAACAAGGATGTAAAAGACCTGTGCTCAGAGAATTATAAGGCTCTGAAGAAAGAAATTCAAGATACACACACGTAAGTGGAAGCCTGTATCGTTTTCATGGACGGGAAGAATTAACATCACAAAAATGTCCATATTACCCAAAGCCATCTATAGATTCAAGGCAATTCCCTTCAAGATACCAATGGCGTAATGCACAGAACTAGAACAAATATTTCAAAAATGTATATGGAACCGCAAAAGACTCGGAATAGCTACAGAAATCTTGAGAAAGAAGAACACACTTGGAGGAATCATGCGACTTGATCATCTAACTATACTGCACGGCTGTAGTCATCAAAACAGCATGGTACTGGCATAGAAACAGACATACAGGTCAATGGAACAGAATAGAGAATCTAGAAATAAACCCACACCTTTATTTCAATTAATACTTGACAAAGGAGGCAAATGCATATAATGGGGTAAAGATAAGTCTATTCAATAAATGGTATTGGGGAAATTGGACAGATACATGCAAAAAAAATGAAACTAGACCTACTTCTTACACCATACGCAAGAATAAACTCAAAATGGGTTAAAGGATTGAGTGTAAAAACTCCAGATTGTACAAATCCTAGAAAAAAACATAGGCAACACAATCTTGGACGCTTCTCATAGCAATATTTTTTTTTCTGAGAGATCTCCTTGGGCAAGGGAGAGAAAAGGGAAAAGAAACAAATGGGACAACATCAAACTAAAAAATTTTTGCACAGAAAAGGAACCCACTGACTAAATAAAAAGACAGCCCACTGAATGGAAGGGCATGTTCGCCAATGATGCGTCTGATAAGGGGTTAATATCCAACATTTATAAAGAACTTAAACAACTTCAAAAAACCCCCAAATAAGCCAATTAAAAAATTGGCAAAGGACGTGAATAGACACTTCTTCAAAGATGGCCAACAGACATATAAAAAGATGCTCAGTGTCGCTAATCATCAGAGACATGAAATGTCAAACCATGATGAGATACCACCTCACACCTGTCAGAACGGCTGTCACCAGTAAGTCAGCAAACAGAACGTGCCGGCGAGGACGTGGAGGAAAGGGGACCCTTGTGCACCGTTGGCGGGAATGCAGGCTGGCGCAGCCGCTGTGGAAAGCAGGACGGAGCTTCCTCAAACAATTAAACACGGATCTGCCGTATGACCCCGTGATCCCACTTCTGGGAATATACCCAAAGGAACCGGAAACACTAACTCAAAAGAACATAAGCACCCCTATGTTCACTGCAGCATTCTTTACAACAGCCAAGACTTGGACGCAGCCCAAGTGCCCATGGGTAGACGAGTGGATAGAAAAGCTGTGGTCCAGTTCCACAAGGGAATGCTGCTCAGCTGTGAGACAAGAAGGGAATCTTGCCCTTTGCGACAGCACGGATGGACCTGCAGAGTGGTAGGCCCAGTGAAATAAGCCAGTTGGTAAAAGACAAATACGACAGGATTTCACTTATAACTGGAACCTAATGAACAAAACAAACAGACAAAACAGAAACAGACTCACAGGTCCAGAGAACAGACTGACAGCTGTCAGAGGGCGCAGGGGTGGGAGGGCTGGGTGAACAGGCGAAGGGTTAACAGAGGAAGAAAAGAACCCTCGTGGACACGGAAAACAGTGTCGTGAGGACCAGGGGGAAGGGGGTGGGGGGAGGGAGAGGCGGGGAAAGGGGGGATAGGTGGTGCCGGAAGGAGACTTGACTTGCGGGGGTGGACACACCATATACAGATGATGCATTAAAGATGCATACGCCTGAAACCTATAGCACTTTATTAACCAGAAAAGCTATCACCCCAATAGCTTTTCAGTACTGTACTTATTCCTGTACAGTTTACTTTCCTGGGTAAGAGGCTTAAGCATAAAGGACAGGAGGTGATATCTGTCATGGTCTCACGTACATTTTTTCAAATATACTGCCAAGGGATATTTATGCCTTTTCACACCACAGATTTAACCCCAGTCCACACAGATTTCAATCTAACGGAGTCTAACAGGGTTCTCCTGCAGCCAGTGTGCAGGATGAGCAAAGAAGGAAAAACAATGAGAGATAAACCTGATGTGAGCGTTCTCATGCGAGGACCATGCCTGGCCTGGAGTGATCCCAGACAATCCAGAGCGAGTTACTTAGTTGCAACAATCGGGGAAGGTTTAAAAAGCCTCGAGTTGCTCCTTTGTTCTCACTGCTGAAAGCAGCTCGGGAAAAGCCAGGCGTTTAAAGAACTTCCCTCCTTCCCTCCGGCTCTCACACTCGCAACAGCGGCCCACTGGTTTTAGAGCCTGCTGGCCGCAGCGTCACACACCAGGCTTCTAGTGGGTAATGTCTGTAATCATGCAAATGGTAAAAGCCGTTTCGGATAAGAACCTCTTCGGGTGGAAGCAATGCACCTGACGGGATACTTACAAGATACTTTTCCACATCCTGGTGCACACAGCGAATGGAAAAAGCCAGTGCTTTTAAAAGGCAATTTTTTAAAACTTGAAATATCAATTTCTGTATAGGTCACACATGCCTCTGGTTAAAAAATTCGAGCGATACAGAGGGGTGTGTGGTGGTGTATTCACTGCGATCAGCAGGAGGCTGGGAAGCCTTCCCCCGGCTGTGCTGCCGAGACTGGAAATGGATGGGCTTTATTCCGTCTGAGTTGCAGAAGCAACTTTGTATCAGTCTTTGGGATCTGTACCTACATTTTAATCTAATGTATACACACAATTAATCTAACATACAGGGTCCGGCACAAATAATGTTCCTTTTTTCCTTACTTAAAACCTTTTATTACAAAGCCATAAGCATGTAATTCTGTAACATGACAGTATCAAACTCAAGCAACCACATGCCATTTTAGGTCAAACGTTCCAACTGCTGTCCATCTCGTGCGAGACATCCATGCACCCTGCCAGCCACACTCAGTGGCGTGACTTCTGCCACGCCCTGGAGATGCGTTCGATCTCACGTTTATACATGTCACTCTGGTTTCCGGGTGTCAGCAGATTCCCTCCTCAGGAGGCACGCATGTTAGTTAATTTCCTGATGGATACTTACATCCCCACCTTTGCACGCACAGACACACACATTTTAGAAGACTTAACGATTCTGACTAGTGAGCCTGGAACGACAGCAACCGTTTAGCTGGAGCCCGCAAAAGCAGGGCGGGCTGGGCAACAGTAAAAAGAGAAAAGCCAGACACTACATTGTTGCCACCGGAGCCGAGAGCCCAGGATCCCTTCCTGCAAGCGTAGCGACCGCGCGCGCTTCCGCACGTTGGCCAGAGAGGGCAGTGCTCACTCGGGAGCCAGGCGCCGGCTGCCCCTTCGACATCCAGGAGTAGGGCCATCTGTCCTAGCCAGCTCAGCTCCCGCAAGTTCTGCAGGCAAAGCCGAGCAGCGAATTGAGGGACCTCTCCCCGGGGGCCCCTTCCGTGGACTGTCACGAGGATGTTGATACACCCACCGCGGGAGGAGCGACCGAGAAAATCCCCAGAAGGAGCCCTAGCGGAAATGCTACTACTCCGCGTGTTTTGTTGTGAACGAGTCGAGCAAGAGCTTCATTTCCCAGCCACGGCTATGTAATTGAGGAGTGTCGGGTCGGGACAGCTACGGAATTCATTCCGGCGTTCTCCACTGTAGTGGAACGAGGGAGTCGCTGGGAACGTGGGGGCGGGGGGGGGGTGGAGAAACAGCCAGGAGCCGGCACGTCCTGGGTTACCTTGGTTCAAAACTGTGCTGGGAGTGCACAGCCAGGCCGCTAAACGTGTCCCATTCCGTCACCGAGATCTCCGTGCTGAGCTGAGAAATGTCTGGAATGGAGCGCCGCTCCCACTGAGACTGGGACGCAAAATCACACTGAGTTTTCCAATAAAACAAATTCAAAAAAAGGCGTTGGTACGGAGTGGGGGGGGGGGCGGGGAACCACCATTCCTCCCTGCACAAACATCCAGATTCCGCGACAAGCGCCACACGGAACGACTGCGATGCCACCCTGCACGCCTTTCCGGGTGGGAAAAAGGCGAGTATCCCCAGTGTGGCGAACACGCAGTGAACGCTCAACCCCGATCAGCGGGGGACAGGGGGGCCTCCCTCGTGGTCTGCGCTCCTCTGAGGTCTGGCAATAGGATTCATCCGGTCCGAGTTGCAGTTGCAACTTCACCTCGCAGTCTTCGCGGTCTGTCTCTGCATTTTACCCTAAAACGCCCCCGGCCCCGGGGTGCGAAGCAGCCGTGGGCGACGTGCCTCAGCGCCCGCGCACTTGCCCAGCAGTCCACGACCGAGCCGAGCGCGGACGCGGCGGCAGGCGGGGCCGAGGTCCGGGCAGCGCGGGGCCGAGCGGTGGCCGCGGCCGGCCGCAATGGTGCCGCAGCCTCCCGGCCGCGGCAGGTGGGACCCGGCCCGGCGCCGGCCCATCGTGGGCTCGTGGAGACGGGCTCGGCGACGCTGCGGCGGGCTGCCCCGGCCCGCGTGCGCCGACTTGGTCTTTCCCTGTCGGGAAAGACCGGCGTTCGCCGCACTGACGCGAACCCGACAACTTTGCGGAGCGTGGCCCGCCGCCCGGTCCTGTGGGTCCCACGTCCCCGGCCGGGAGCCCAGCGCTGCGCCCGCAGACAAAGGCGCGCGGCAGCCGGAGGGACCGAGCGCCGGCCTCGGCCCGCAGGGGGCGCCGTGCTCCGAGCCCCGGGCGCTTACCTTTGAGGACCGAGCCGAGCTGCTCCAGGGCCATGTTCCCGGCGGCCCGGCGCTTGCGAGGGGCCCGGGCGGCGGCGAGGCGGCGGCGGAGCGCGGCGCTCACGGCCCGGCGCGGCGGCGGCCCCGCTCCGCGCCCATCGCGGCCACCAGGCGGCCTCTCCGCCGGCTGCGCTCAGGTCCCGCAGCGCGCCATCCCCGAGCCCCCCGCCGGCCCCCGCGCTGCCCGAGCCCCCCGACGGGCGCCGCCTCCGGCCCCCCGCCGCTCCGTCCCATCGACCGGCCCTGAGCCGAGCGGCGCGGGTGCGAGGGACGGCACCAGCGCGGGCCCGGCTCAAGTGGCGGCGGGCGCGGGGAGCCCCGGCTCATTTAAGCGGGGAGCGCGAGCGCCGCGTGTCGGCCGCGCCGCCTGCGCGCACGTCCCGCCCCGCCCCGCCCCGCCCGCGCGCCCCTCGCGCCCTCCCCGCCTATCGCCCCTGGGGGCGGTGCCTCGGACCCGCCGCCGCTGCGCTCCGCGCGGGGGTCCGGGGGGCGATGTCTCGGGTCCAGATCGTGCGTGTCCGCCGCTGCGGGAGACCGGCTCCCCAGGAGAGCGGGCACGGACTCCTGGGCCTCCCGGGACCTCAGTTCAAGGTCAAAACTGCCCAGCTCAGCCCTGCTCCGCTACCTGCCTCGGGCAGGACTCGGGGGCACTGGGGGCCTGCCATTTCACGCACCCTTTGGCGCCAGGTCAATTAACCCGAAGCACGGTGGCGGCTACTAGCACTTGCTGAACGCTTCCTGCGCCGCCAGGCTCCGGGCCAAACACTTTCCCACCAGCTCTCCCGTCCTCAGGCTCCCCTCCTGCGGCAGGCGCTGCTGGAGTGCGCGGGGGGCGAGGCCAGGGGGTGAAGCGACGTGTCCAGAGCCACGCGGCGGGCGGCGGAGGCCGGGCTGGGAGCCTGGACCCCCCCCCCCCCGCCAGACCCTGCTCTCCTAACCACTGAACCGCGCTCTTGGGGTCGCTTGACTCCGCCGATAAAAATTTCCAAATTTGCCAACTGCTGCATAGTGTTTGGCGTTAATGATCCTACTTTATTTTCTCCGCAGGAATTGGATCACGCTCCGAAGTCGTCTCGCTCATCTATTTATTTCCTCGTCACCTGTACCCCACTCATTCTGTGAAAATATGAGCCCCACTCATTCTGTGAAAAAGGCCGCGCGGGGCTCACACACGTCCCCCACTCGGTACCTGCCTGCTGAGTGTTAGGCATGCGCAGAAAGCGGCGCCCTGATCAGGGCTGCGGAACGTCCCCGACCAAGGCCCTGCCCCAACGCCCACTGTCGGGGCGGGAGTCGGACACACCGTCGGAGCTCCGCGATTATTGGTCTAAGAAGTTACGGCCAGGGACAGTGTCAGGCGAGTGAAGGAAGTCTTCCAGGAACGGCCGGGTCTTCTCTCTTTCCTTCTGTCCTTCCAAGAAAGGCACAGCAGTACGCAGCCGCCGGGCTGACTGGTATGCTGCGCGTTTAACACCAAATAAAGACCAAGGTATCGAGCGCGTTAGCACGCACCGTGGGAGGTGGCAAAGCCGTATGTGTGTTCGTGTTCATACAAATCCGCTACCGTTAAACTGAGATTGCGTAGAAGGACCAACCGAACTGATAAATAAAACACACAAGCGCCTTTCTCACACATACAATAAAGTGACATTTTGGGACACCAAGGCCTTAATAAGAGTGTTTGATCTAAGTCGTGGACACTGGTGGGCAAAACAGAAGGGGGGAGGGAGGAGCTGTCTCTGCGTGGGGAACGAGACGGGCTCCTCAGGCACAGTCTCGGGGGGAGGGGGGAGCCGGTGTCACGGAGAAGGCCGCCCCGGGAAGGACGCGGCACAGAGCGTGGACAGGCTGCGGGTGGGGAGCATCCCGTGTGGGGCGGGTGTTGTGTTTGGTGGCGGTGGTTACCGCGGGCCGGGGTGGGCTTGCATTGCGGAGGGCCTCGCTTTGGACCCGGGGCGGAGGGCTCTGCACTGGATTCAGGAGGCCAGAGGCATCACGGTTTTTTTTTTTGTTGTTTGTTTGTTTTTTAATAGTGGAAGATGAATCTGGCAGCCGAGTTGAGGCTATAATAAAAGAGGAGCGCTGGCTGGTGTGGCTCAGTGGACTGAGCGCCAGGCTGCGGACCAAAGGGTCGCCGGTTCCATTCCCAGTCAGGGCACATGCCTGGGTTTCGGGTCGGGTCCCCAGTAGGGGGCGCACAAGAGGCAACCACACATGGATGTTTCTCTCCCTCTCTTCCTCCTTCCCTTCCTAAAAATAAACAAATAAAAGCTTAAACATAAAAGGAGGGAGTAGAGCAGCCAGGGCAGTAAAAAAGCACACACATCCAGCTCTTTTTTACTCAGCCCACTATCACACCTCAAACGTCTCCTCCCCTCCGCAGCGCTGGCTGGGGAGCGGCAGACTCCCAGGGAGCGGATCGCAACTGCTCATTTTGCGGCTCCCTTTGAAGACACCTATGTTTGGGAGGTGCTCGGGCAGACGTCTGCAGCAGCGTTTCCAAGGAATGTGGCAAAGCACAGGCCCGAGGCTGGGACTACTGTGTGGCCATATGCGAACGGAGCCCAGAGGGAAGCAGTTGGCACGGCTCTCCGCCGGGGAGTGCTGCTGCGGCCAGCACTGTCTCTGCGGAAGGCCCCCCGGCAGCGCCCAGTCTGTTCCCAGGTTACCTGCCAGGTCCCAGCTGCCCTGGTTTCGCTGCAGCCTGCCCGGGCTCCCTGGCATAGGTTAGCCTCCCCAGCTCCTCTTAGAATCGGTCCCGCAGTTTACCTTGCGTTTTGTTTTCTCTGGCCAAGTCTCCTGATGGGTGGTGGTAGGTACCACCGGCTTACCGTGGGGATAAAACCCTGTGGAGAGGCAGCGTTTTATCTCAATGCGTGTGTGCCGAGCAGAGTTTTTGTCCCCCCCCACCCCCACTCCCGCCTTTCTCTTTTGCTAGAGTTTGGGAGCTCTAACAATTTATTAAATAATAGCCCCAGGCCCCGGCTGCTGTGGCTCAGTGGATATTGAGCGCTGGCCTGTGAACCAAAGGGTCGAGGGTTCGATTCCCAGTCAGGGCACATGCCTGTGTTGTGGGCCAGGTCCCCAGTAGGGGTGGGGGTGCAAGCAGCAACTACACATTGATGTTTCTCTCCCTCTCTTTCTCCCTCCCTTCCCCTCTCTCTGAAAACAAATAAATAAAATATTTGAAAAAATAGCCTTAGAGGGCAGGTTGTTACGTGTACGGATCGCCACGGAATGAAAGTGTACGTCCCTCGATTCTCCTGTGTTGAAGCCCCGACACCCCAGTGCGGCTGTATTTGGAGACGGGCCCTGGCCCGTCGGCACTCGTGTCCTTCCACGGAGACCCGGCAGCGAGAGCAGCGTGAGAAGGCGGCAGTCGGCCGTGCAGCAGGGAGCCCTCCCCAGAGGCAAGGTGGCCGGGAGCCTCCATCTGGGACGTCCAGCCCCCAGCCCAGTGAGAAAAGAAAAAAACAAAAACGCGTTGCCGCAGCGCCCGGCGCAGAGGGACGCCCAGGGCAGGGCTGGGGTAACGCAGACTCGTGCGCGGCAGGTCTCTTCGCGGGGGAGCCCGACGGGGACGACCCTGCGCGGGAACAGGAGGAACGGCTTTCTGCCCGCAGGGGGCAACGAGCTTCAACGCCCCCTCTCGGCCGCCTGCTCTCCGTCCCGGGCGCAGGCGGGGCCGCGGCGACTGCAGACCTGCCGAAAACCGGAGCCACACGGGATCTCCGTGCGCGCAGCTTCCGTTCTTACTGCACGACTGGAGGGTTTTGAGGGGGAAGGGAAAGAGGGAAAGTGTTAATTTTTAAACTCACTGTATGCATGCGTTTGGGCTGCCGTAACAAAATTCCGCAGGCGGGTCGACGTAGGCAGCAGAAGTCGGTTCTCTCTCCGGGCGGGAGACTGGGAGTCCAAGGTCGAGGGGAGGCCGGCTGGAGGCCGCACACCGCCCGCCCGCGGTGTCGTCCCACGGCCCTCCCCGTGCGCCCCAGACGCTTCTCGCGCCCCCTCTTCTTTCAGGGACGCTCCCCCTGCTGGCTCAGGGCCCCGGCCTTCATGCCTCATCTAACCTAATTACCCCGTCGAGGCCCGGTCTCCAGACATGGTCACACTGGGGTCACAGCGCCGACGCAGGCATTGGGGGCCACGATTCAGTCCCGCGCCCGTGGACCCCAGTCGTTCCCGTGTCAGTGGTGGTGGGGAAGAGCTCCTCCAGGGAGTCGGAGCCGGGTCCTCGTCACCTGAACTGGTTCCCACTTTTCCGCGCGGCCTGACTCCAGAGCCAGAGGATTTTAAAGAAATACTGCCTGCTCCCAGGACGAAAGGACTTCAACTGTACCAGGAAGACTTCCGGCTACCCGGTTGCTCTCATTGGATTGTGAAACACTAAGAAAGGTCCTGATTCTCTTTCTTGGAATAGCATTGATAATACCGATGGCTTCTCTTTTTAAAAAAGCCCAAATCCCGTTTTGAAAGGTGATCTGTTTACTTTATGGGGAGACCTCTTTAGCTAGTTAACTGGGACAGTATGAAATCACCACAGTGAAGTGTAAAAGTCTCTCTCTTTTTAACTTCAAAGAGTTTATTTATTTACTTTTGGACAGAGGGGAAGGGAGGAAGAAAGAGAGAAAGGAAAAGAAGCATCAATGTGTGGTTGCCTCTCATGTGTTCCTTACTGGGGGCCCAGGCACGCGCCCGGACTGGGAATCGAACCTGTGACCCCTTGGTTTGGGGGCTGCTGCTCAATCCACTGAGCCACACCAGCCAGGGCAGGACATGGGTTTCTTTAAGCAGTTTACTATCTTTCAACTCTTTCCTTACCGTGATGAATAGGTCTGCCCAGCCTTTTCTGCACAGAGAGCACAAATGAAGCACAAATGGGCAGTTAAGTCCGCAATTCTTTTTCTTTTTCTTTTAAAGATTTTATTTATTTATTTTTAGAGAGGGAAGGGAGGGAGAAAGAGAGAGAGAGAGAAACATCAATGTGCGGTTGCTGGGGGCTGTGGCCCACAACCCAGGCATGTACCCTGACTGGGAATTGAACCTGCGACGCTTTGGTTCGCAGCCCGTGCTCAATCCACTGAGCTACGCCAGCCAGGGCCACAATTCTTTAAGTCATCATAAGATTCAATAATTAAGATTTGAGTGATTTTTATATAATTAAGATTTGAGTGATTTTTATTGAAAACTTCTTTATAATGCCTTGGTTACACCCAAGGCAAAACTTTAGAAGTGCCGGAAAATTGTTGAAGGCAGTAGAAATCTAACAAAATTCTATTTTACTCTCTTCAGACAGCGCCAACATAACTGGTTGAGATTTGATCATATTATTTTGTTAAAACAAAATAAAACTGACAAAAAGCACCCAGTTTGTTTGATGGAATCGAAGAGTCATTTTTTCTTTCTTTCAAACTGGCTGAGCCCATACCATCAGGAGAGCCAAATGGATTTGGTTTCTTAAAATACATATTTATTTGAACCGATAGGGAGTTTTTAAAAAGAGGTAATGTGGTTCTCTTTGAAACGATGTTTTGAATGTTCGGATTATTCCTCGGTGCTTAATAAATTATTGGGGTCATTCTGGGTGTTAAGGATAAAAATTCTAAGACGTTTCCCCTGCTTGCAGGTTGCTAACAGCGTGGTAAACAGTGTATAACAGTGTGTGTGTGTGTGTGTGTGTTCTCAGAAAAATACCAGGGAAGCTTTATTCACTCATTCCTCTAGCCGTACGCCCAACTAAACTAGCATGGTCTGGGTGCCTACTGTGCCAGGTTCTTTTCTTTTTCAATTCTTGTTTGATTACAGTTGTCTCCATCCCCCCCCCCATTACTCTTCTCCGCCACACCCACCCTGCCTCCCACACTCAACCTCCCCTCCCTGTTGTCCGTGTCCATGGGCCCTTTATGCCTGTTCCTTGGTGACCCTTCCCCTTCTCTCTCCTTTCTCCTCCCTCTCCCCTCTGGTCCCTGCCAGTTTGTTCTTCATGTCAATGTCTCTGGTTCTATTCTGCTTGCTGGTTTGTTTTGATGATTAGGTTCCATTAGGTGAGATCATATGGTATTTGTCTTTCACCACCTGGCTTGTTTCACTTAGCATAATGCTCTCCAGCTCCATCCATGCTGTCGCGAAGAGTAGGAGCTCCTTTCTCTCTGCTGCATAGAATTCCTTTGTGTAAATGCACCATAGTTTTTTGATCCACTCATTTACTGATGGGCACTTAGGATGCTTCCAGCACTTGGCTCTTGTAAATTGTGCTGCTATGAACATTGGGGTGCACAGGTTCTTTTGGATTGGTGTTTCAGGGTTCTTAGGGTATAGTCCCAGTGGTGGAATTGCCGGGTTAAAAGGCAGATCCATTTTTAGTTTTCCTGACAAAACTCCACGCTGTTTTCCACAGTGGCCGCACCGGTCTGCATTCCCACCGACAGTGCCCCAGGGTTCCCTTTCTCCACAGCCCCGCCAGCGCTTGTCGTTTGTTGATTTGTTGATGAGGGCCATTCTCACCGGGGTGAGGTGGCACTCATTGTGGTTTTAATCAGGGAGGTGGCTGGTGAGGCTGAGCACCCTTTCTTGTGTCTCTGGGCCCTCTGTGCATCCTCCTTGGAGAAGTGTCTGTTCAGGTCCTTTGCCCGTTTTTTTAATTGGGTTGCTTGTCTTCCTGGAGTGCAGTCGTGTGAGTTCTTTATGTATTTTGGAGATCAAAGCCTTGTCCGAGGTGTCATTGGCCAAACACATCTTCCCATACGGTTGGTGCCCTTTTCATTTTGCTGATGTTTTCTTTAGCCGTGCAGAAGCTTTTTCGTTGGACGAAGCCCCACTTGTTGATTCTTTCCTTTATGGGAAATCTGGAACACTTCACGAATTCGCGTGCCATCCTTGCACAGGGGCCACGCAAGTCTTCTCTGCATCCTTCCCATTTTAGCGTGTGTGCTGCCCAAGGAGCACCAGCTGCAACACCGGTTTATAGAAGGGGCTTGCGCACCCACAGATCTTGGTCTCGGTGCGGGGTGGGGAGTGCAGCCAGTTCCCCGCGGACACCGAGGGCTGACGGCGCACCTGTGCCCCGGTGTGCGCGGGCAAGAGCTTCTTGAAGAGCTCGGTGGCCGTGTGGAGTTACAGTGCAGTGTCTTCGGCTGCAGGCGAGAGAAGGGGAAGCAGCACCTCTCTGCAGAGCGGCTCTCCCCTTCTCGTGAAGCCCCCTGAGAGGGCGGGAGGGTTCTCCTGCGGCAGCGCCATCCCCGCGGTGGCCAGAGTGGCTTCTACGGCTGCGTGTCGCGCCGGCGGGTGTTCCGCAGCGTCTCTGTGAGGTCGTAGTTTGAATTTTTCTTGATAATCGGGTTGAACGCCTTTTTTATGTTTATTGGCTACTTGAATTTTTTTTTTGAGGAGGGGTGAATGATCGTTTAAAACTTTTGGCCAGTTTTTTTTTTTTTTTTAACTGGGTTGTCTTTTTGAATCCTTTTGTAGAATTTCTGTATTTTGGGTACTCATCAGTCATATATGTTGAAAATACTTCCTTTTACTTTATGACTTGTCTCTTCACCCTGTTAATAGTGTCTGTGATGAGCAGTAGTAAGTACTCCTTCAACATTCTCCTTGATGGATGGTGTTGTGATTTGAATGAGAACCAGCCCCTACCCCAGGGTCAAGAGGGTGTTTCTGTGTGTTAAATACCAAAAGCTTACAACTCTGCCCTCCACCCTTGGGTCCTTGCTGCCCCTGTCTCCTCACGGACACCACCCTGTATTACTCATTATCGCTACTTTACGTTTTGATGTCTGACAGCGATTTCCTGTTCTTTTCCAAGGCTGTCTCGGCTGCTCCTGGCCCAGCACACCGCCGCGTGCATCTTTGAAACAGCGCCCCGCGTTCAGCCCCAACAGCAGAGCCCGCTGGGGTACGGGGTGGCGCTGGCGGAGACCTGGCGTCTTCCCGCTTAGTCGTGTCGTCCCCAGACGCGGCCCAGCCGGGCACGTACGGAAGGTTTGTCTGATGTTTCTCAGACGAGTTTTACGGCTGACCCGGCAGTGATGTTTTGGGGTACACAGTCTCTGCAGTTACCTCTCCTTGTTCGTTTCTGACATGGGTTTTATTTGTGTCCAATTTCTTCTTTTTTGTGTGTGTGTAGTCAGAGATGTGTTTACTCACAACACGCTTCGCAGGCAGAATGGCATGCAGCAACCGCGTGACCGAGAACCCGCACAATCTGCGAGTCACAGCCGAACGGGACGTTTGCTTTCTCACGAGGGAAAGCGGCAGTTTGTGCGAGGACGGAGGAGCACTGTGTGTTTCGGAAAGGAGCTCTGTGTTCTGAGGGTGCAGGTGGGGGGGGGGGCAAAGCCGGCCGCGCGTCGCCACTCACAGCTCGGCGCCCCCCGAGCGCACGGCCCGTCCTCGGTGAGGAGCGATTGGGTCCCCGGAGCCCGAGGGCTCTGGAAGTGCCGTCCACAGGCCGGACGTAGAGATACTGTTGACTTACTTATTTCACACCCAGCTCAAACGGGGAAGCCCCAGGTGTGAGTGATTTTACATTCTGAAGTATGAGTGTTGCTCTTTGACTTTCGGTCTGAGTTTAAACGTCCCGAGTGGCACGTAAAACACCCCATTTTCCTCCTCTTTCAGGGGCTCTCGGGGCCCGTAGCCCGGAGGGAGGAGCGTGGGGGGTCAGGCCCAGCCTTCCCGCCCCGACTCAGGACAGCCAGGCACTGGGGCGGCTCCCCCTCTCCCACCACGCACTGCGGGCTTGCGGGAGAGCGCGCCTCCACTCTGCGTCATCGATCGGGGGCACTCGTTCATTGATTATCCGTTTTCTTAGTCTTTTAAAGTCACCGGCCGGGCGCGGGCGATGGGAAGCCAGGCTGCGAGTCACGGCAGCGCTGGGGACCTTTCGGTCCCCTCTGCCCTGGGGAGTCAGCCCCAAGGGGCCGTGCTCCATCCTCGGCTTGTGAGCTTCCTCTGGGAGTGGTTCTGTTTGTCAGGATGCACGTCTCCCGGGCTGCTGCTTTCTGAGAGGTCTTCCAAAGTACTAGTCACACGGGTGACTAATACGGCCTCTCATAGTGGCCGTAAGAATCCTCTGCAGCCTCATAGAAACCTAAGACTTACTATCTAATCTGGTGATCCCGGTTTTCCTGTGTCTACAAACGTGTTGCTCTAGGACCCGTCGGCTTGAAAAGGCTACAGTGAAGCCAAGGTCTCCCCGCTTGACGGCGGAGCGCCCGCCGCCTGTGAGACACTCCGTAGGTCGGCAGGGTGTTTAACCACGGGAGGGCGCACGTCTAGGCACCTCTACCCGTCGTGGGCCCCTCCCCTTCCTTAGCACGAGTGGGAAGGGTAAGGAAAGTATGCTTACAAGTCGTGACCTTTAATCCTGAGGCCTGCCAGGAGTGACAGCTATTTTGGGAATCAAGTTTTTGAAAATATGTAACGTTTTTTGGCTGGTAGATGGAGAATGGAAAGGGCTAGTCTGGGTACATGGTGTGCTACCAACAATGGTTTTGTGGTACAGGGGACCCTTGAACAAGACGAGGTTTAGGGGCACCCCCTGCTTCCAGCTGAAAGTCCACCCAGAACTGGTGACTCCCCTGACAGGGAGCTACGGAGAGCCTGCTGTTGGCCAGAAAGAAGTCCTACTGCCAACATAAAGAGTCGCTTCACACGTGTTTTGTCTGTTACACGTACCATATATACATGCTTGAGTACCATATTCTCGCAGTAAAGCCAGATACCAGAAAATGTTATTAGAGTCGTGAGGAAGACACATTTGCAGTGTTTACTGAAAAAACCCCCACGTACAAACGGATCCACGCCGTTCCAACCCGTGTGGCCCGGGGGTCAGCTGCAGCACAAGTACTGTCATCTTTACCTTCCAGATGGTGACTCAGAGCCGCCCTCCCAGTTCCCCAGAGGACGAGACGGGCAGGAGGGCACCTCGGCGGGCGGGGGGCAGAAGGCGGCGTCACTGAGTCCCCTGCAGCGCGGGCGGGGGGAGGGCGGGCGGGCAGGACCCTGTGCCACCACGTGCGGCTCAGCGCGGACCTGTAAGGTGTCACTACCCGTGTCTCGACGAAGAGACCGAGGCTCACAGAGGCCAAGTGGCGGACTGGAAGCCCCGGGGTGGGGGGGGGGTGGGGGTGGGGGTGGGGGGGGCTCAGCCAGGCCCGGAACCCAGGTTTGTCCCGCCTCGCAGCCCGGGCTCTCTCGGTGTTCAAACGGACACTCGGGTGTGTGCCCTGGGTCCTCGAAGTTCTGCACCTGCTGGCCCTCGATAAACGACCTCGATGTTGCGTTTGGAGGTTGGTGTCAAGACTCGGAAGGTTCTGCAAGGTCGCTGTGATTGCCACTGACGTCCCCTTCGCCTGCAGCGCTGCTCCCCCAGACCCTGGCTCCCGAGGGGTGTTCAGTCGGGCTGGATCGGGGGACGGGGCTGCTGCGGGTCGGGAGCTGCCCAGGGCATTTAGTGGAGGACTTAACGGAGGGCGGCGGCAGGAGGTGCCTGACCTGCCCCGACTCACGGGGAGAAGGGGTGCCGGGCGAGCCCGTCCCTCTGTCCGCCGGTCCAGGTGCGGGGTGCGGACCTCATAACGCCTCCTCCTCGTGCTCCGAAATATTGGCGATTACTTACAGACTCCCCTAAATACTTGGTCTCAACACAGAATATTTATTAAGAGGACATTAACATGCTCAGACACAGAGTCAATCCATCACTGACAACCAGCCGTCCCCAGCGGGCGGCCAGGACAGCACAGCACGAGTCACAGGCCGTGTTCGGCCGGCGTCCGCGTCACGGAGCCGCCACACGTCCGTCTGCATGCAGGACAGCACTGGCGCCGACTGGTTGCAAACCCCCCCCCCACCCCCCAGGTCTTAGAGTCACGTCCCAGAGGACCTTCCCGGTGAGGTGCGCCTCCCGAAACCCGCTCTGCAGCCTGGCTGCGAACCACAGGCCCCGCGGGCTTTGACCAGACGCTGGTGACGGGGCCGTGCCTCCCGGGAGACGTCGGTGCCCCTCGCCACCGCGAGACGGGGTCAGGGGTCACGTGCCAGTGCGGGGCGCGTTCAGTCCTGGGGGCTGCGGTGATGTTTTAGGTTCTGCGGACTCGGAACAAACCCTTCTACCAGCTGCCACCCACCAAGAACTCAGGTTTTCCAAACGTGAGCTCCTAATGCCTGAAAGTAAAATTCTCTGGAGTTTGTTGTATCTGTTGACCATTAGCTGTAGACGTGTAAAGCAAGCATCTAAAAGTAGCGATGACAGCGCTCTCTCCTCGAGCCCCGCTCCGAGCCGGACCCTGAGCCGGACCCTTCACCCGCGCCGCGCCCACCCGTGCTCACGGCCCCGCCCACAACGGACCAGGACGGAGGGTCCCCGGGTCAAACGCCAGCCAAGCTCCGAGGGTTAGGGAGGGTGGGGCGGGCGGGCGGGCCCCAGGCCAGGCCCCGCTCACCGCTCCGCCCGCCTCTGCGACGGTCGGTGACTCTAGGAAACGCCCCGGAAGGGCCGTCCGCAGCGTCGGAAGAGCGGACGTGGACTGCCCCGCTCACGGAAATGCCTTTATTCACGGTCTTTCCCGCCACCATCGCCGTGACAAGCGTGCAGAGACGCAGACACCCGAGAACATGCGACCCGCCCCACGCGGAGCGGCTCCGGCGGGCCCCGCCCCCGCGCAGCGCGCTGCGCTCCGAGGAGGCCCCGGCGCGTTCCCGCCGCGTCTGTGCGCGTGCTCTCCAGGAATCACCAAAGCAGCATCGGTTAGAAATTACGTTCGGAATCCCCTAATTCTTCTCTAAGCCACCGGCAGCGCTCCGGCGGATGGCGCGGAGGCCGGCCCGCGGCGCGGTGCGAAGGGCGGGTCACATGGCGTCGAAGTGGAACCGGTGGGCCTCCTGCCGCTTCTCCCGGTCGTCCGCCTTCTGCAAGACAAGGTCGGGCTCGTCAGGGACCCAGGAACGCGAGAGAAGGCGCGTCTCTGAGCTGAAGGGGTCAGCTAAGAACAGCCCCCCCTCCACCGAGCAGGTACCAGTGTGGCTGTTGTCCCAGTCTAACTATTTCTGAAGCTTACAGGAGTGATTTTATACATTAATGACCCACTCACCTGAATTTAAAACCCAACAGGAAATGTTCCTGAAACACCTAGCTTGTTATTGTTTATTTGAAAATAGGAGTAAACATGAGATTTTGTAAGGACGGAATCAACGATGACACTTTCCCCATCCTTAACGCTGAGGCCGGCAGACACGGCTAAGTCAACGAGGTTAGGCTGCGTCGCGTGTTTGGGGCTGACCTGCGGACCTTGCTCAGCGGGGCTCACTGGCGCTGGGTGTTCCGAGGGTTAAAAAGGCCCCGAGTTTCGTGTTTCGTTCCCAAGGGGCTGCCAGCCCGGGGAGAGGAGGGCCAGCGCGCTGCCCCAGGGCACGGTGCGGGAGTGTCCCCACAGTCTGAGAGAGGTGACTTGGGGTGGGGACAGGGGACAGGGGCCAGGGCACGTCTGAAGGATGGTGCTGGCGGCAGCGGCGGGGAACCCGAAAAATCAGAGCCGCGACCATGTCAGCCGCGGCGGATCTGAAGACACCACACGCCCCCGCGAGTGAGGGCCCCGGGGGAGGCGCGGACCTTCTCCTGCCAGTGCAGGGCGCCGATGACGGCCAGGATGAAGACGCAGACGCCGACCAGCGCGACGGCCGTCAGGAGCACGATGTTGCTGGGCGTGAGGTACAGCTTGGCGCTCCAGCTGCGGGGGGACAAGGGGGGGGGACACAGGGGAGTCACACTTTGCACCGAGACCGAGGAGCCTCATCAACCGACCCGTTCCCCGCACGCGGCCAGTCGCCCATCCGCCCACTCATCAGAACTGAAACGGGAGCAGTTCGCTTTGTGCAGAGCGACGGCCAGAGGCGACCCTGCAGAGTCGGCCTGACTCAGCGGCTGGGAGAGGGCAGCTTTCCCGACGGGACGCAGTGGTCCTTGCCCTGATCCCGAGAGCATTATCCTCTCGGGCGGTGACCGAGGGTCCCCGGGACCACGTGAGACGTGCTTTTCACGTCTTGCTTGACTTGCCTAATTCGGAACCTCGGACCCTACGGGCAGGTGGCCGCGTGGTTTTGGTAAGATTTCTGTGGCTTCTCCTTCCGGCCTCCGCCCACATACGCTCCATGACCAGCCAGCACAGCCGCACGTCCAGGCAGGCGCGGGTGGGGGCCCCCACGACCCTTCCGTGGCTCGTGTGGTGTGGGGGAGGGTCACGTCACTGCCCCGCCCCCGCCCGGAGAGCCCACCGCCGGGCTCGGCGTCCCCGGGCTGCGGGCGGCTCCGCGGGAACCGGCCCGTTCTCGTCTCAGGGGCGCGGCACAGGTGAGACCACTCTGAGCGACGGCGGCGGGGCGCAGCGGGCTTGGTCTGCGACGGTCAGAGTTTACCGCTCCATCGGTCAGCCTCTGGTCAGCGAGCCCCCGGCCACAGCTCACGCTGAGACCGATCCGTTTCCCTGCTGTGTGCCCCAGTTACAAGAAGAGCGTCTGCTCAGAAGGGGCGAGAGGAGCCGCCCCAGGGTGCCCCGAGCCCAGAACCCGGAGGGGGACGAGCGCGTGGCGCTACCTGCGGGGGGCGCTGTGAGGGAAGGGGATGACGATGAGCTGCGAGTTCGGGATGATGGCCGTCCACTCCTGTCTCCGCACGGCCTGCAAAGCAGCAAAGGACACGGTCACCGGCGCTTCCGACGCTGCGCCGGCGAGGGGCAGGCCAGCCCCCCCAGAGTTTCCCGGGCCCCGGGCATGGGTTGGACTGAATTCACGGGCGGCAAGTCCCCGGAGGCCCCGTGCCCTGCCAGAGTTCATGGTTCTCGTCTTTGCAGGGAAGGACTTTGCCTGCCTCCTGATTCACCGGGTCAGCAAACACTCACGGACGCCCCTGCAGCTCGCGGCTCAGGGCGCCCGCACAGAGGCCAAGCCGGAGGCGGGGCGAGGGGGACAGCAGGTGAACAGGCGACAGAGGGCGGCGGGGCGGGGTGGGGGGAGGGGGTGGGGTGGGGTCACTGGGTTTCGGGAGGGGTGGCGGACCACTCTTCTCCAGAGGGTGACGCGCCCTTAGGTGGGACCAAGAGGTCACTACCGGTCAATTCTTAGTTCTTTAAGGGGAACACAGTATTCGAATCGCTGCCGTTCCAACCCACTGAATCCGAATGAGCGAATGACTGAATTCAGACGCCTGGCTGGTGAGTGTTGAAACGCAGACCAACTGCAGACAAGACCCATCCCGACTCACCTTCTCCCCCGAGGGCCGGGGGATGCCCACGTACAGGTGGTCCAGGAAGTTGGCGCTGCGGCCCAGGCCGAGCACGCTGTAGGGCAGCTGCAGGGCCAGGTGCGCCGACTGGCTGAGCTGCCCCGCTGCGGGGCGGGGGGGGGGCAGAGAGAGACACATCAGAAACGCCGCTCTCGCCGAGCGGTAGAGCGACCCAGCCCAACCACGCGGGTGCTGGAGCCTGCTCTTCAAGGACAGAGACGCGAGACGCCCCGTGTGGCTCACTGACGACACGGCAGCGTTACCGGGATGCAGCCCACGCGGTGCGACCTCCGCTCACGGAGAGCGTGCGGCTGGCTGGCCTTGAGTGTGCTCACACGGCTGCTGGCCCAGGCCACACCAACGTCCGCAGCGTGTCCACTGTCCCTGAGGAGCCCGTCCCACGAGTGGTCACCCCCGTCCCTGAGCCCGGCTTCCCAGCTGTGGGGAGGCAGCCCCGAGTGTCCCCTGTGCACTGGCCTGCTCTGGTGGCGCACGCAAGCATAGTCACAGAGCCACGGGCGGGGGTCTCCTGGCCCGCCCCAGTGCCCCGGTGCCCTGGTGCTGGGGAAGGGCTGTGCTCTAGCCTGTCCGACCGGCCGCGGCTCTCTCGGGGCTGCGGGCGGCACCTCACTGGGGCGTTTCACAGTGCTTCTGTCTCACTTGCATCCACCTGGGGATGCCGGCCTCTTCCCTGTGCCTGTCGGTCCCTCACGCGGCTTCCAAGTCCGTGAGGAGAGTGGTCCTCGCTTCCACTTTGGGTTTTAGTAATTTTTCTTTTTTTCTTGGTCAGCTTAGCTAGAGGTTTGTAAATGTTGTTAATCTTTAAAAAACTATCTTGCTGGTTTTCTCTGTTTTTCTATTCCTTCCTCATTTCCTCTCATTCCTTGTCTTGTTTGCCGGGTTCAGTCGGCTTCTCTTCCCCTGGTTTCTCGGGCGGAAGCGCAGGCCTCGGGCTGCGGACGGCCCCTCGTCCCCACACAGGCCCCTGTGGCACCGGGTCCTCTGCCGCCCGCTGCAGCCGCTCCCTGTCCGACCGCTGCGGCGAGGACGTCCAGGGCTGTGTGGGACGCAGGTGGTGACGGCGGCCTCCCTGTCCTGGTCCTGACCTCAGAGGGGAGGCTGCCGGCTTCTCGGCGCTGAGGCCGGTGTTGGCCGTGGGCGTGTCACCTGTGGCCTTTGTTATGCTGAGATGTGCCCCTTCGTTCCCACTTTGGTGACAGTTTTTATCAGAAATGGACGCTGACTTCTGGCCGGTGTGCTTCCTGCACGGCTGAGACCGCCATTCGACTCCCCTGGGGCTCTGCTGCTGCGGTCGGTCACACTGGTCCTTTGGTGGGTGCTGGGTCGCCCTCGCACCCCTGGGACACACCCACCCCGCCGCCCTCGGTGTGTGACCTCCGGTGCGCCGTGGGATTCGGTTTGCTGGTATCCATCTTCTGCTGAGGATTCTGGCAGGAAATGGGCAAACCAGGCCTATTTTAGATTGCTTATTGATTTCTAAAATACGAACTCTTGAAATAAATTAGGCAGGATTCATATTCTCAATTACTTTTTGTGGACATTCATAATTAAGTAATTAAGTAAAATAGAATGGTTAGTGAGTTGCTTACCACAGTTTTTAAAAATAACAACTACTTTGTGCGCAGAGCAAGGGCTGCACTCAGTCCCGGGCCACTGCCCGCCCAGCCGCGCGGAAGCGCCGGCGCAGACGCACGGAGCCCACGGGACGTGTGCCGGGGACGCCCGGGCTCCCCCTAGAACCGCTGCGGCCGTGTCCGGCTCCCGCGGCGGCCCTCTACCGCTGACGGCGAGGGGGTGGTGGTGGTGGCAGCCTTCCTACCGCGCACTGCCGGGCCCGGGGAGTTCTGTGCTCCCCCTCCGTAGGTAAGGTGGGTGGATGTCAGGATGTAACTCTCCCCTCTTGTGCATGTGACAACAGCAGGGTTGCAACTTTTGCGTTAGTAATCTTCCTTACGGCCAAAGCCATTTTGTTTCAATTAAAAAACGTACTCGGTTCATGAGAAAACTCGAGCTCATGTGACCAGAGTAAGAGAATACTTTCATGCCTGGAACACGCTCAACTCCCGAACAGTACGTGTCTCTTCCTGGGGGTGGTGCACGCAGGCACGTGCCACATCTGTGCCGCGGGCGGGCCCGCACCTCCCGGTCTTCGGAGAGTGAGGCGGGTCCCGGGGGGCGGCGCGGTCCAACGCCGCGTCGACGCTGTGCCACGCAGCACGTAGCGCGGTCCGACGCCGCGCCCGCAGCACGCAGCACGCAGCACGCACGGGTGCTCCGTGACCTCCGACTCGCTCGTCCTCTTGGGCCAGAAGGGCCAGGTGGGTCCCGGAGGAGCCTCCCGGGAGGGTAAAGCTGGAGGAGAAGTTATTTCAGGGCGGAACTCGCCTCGGAGAGCACATGCCTCTGAGTAAGCTGCTAAAAATATGATTTCCAATTAAATCGGCACCTCTGCTCTCTGAGTTCGCTCATCTGACTCCACCTGATCCCGTGTTCTCGTGAATTTCATCAGAACTGGTAAAACATTAATTGAGGAGATGAAGCATGTATTTCTTTTTTTTCAGATACTATTCTATTTCAACTTGAGACTCAACTTGCAGTGAGTCTTTGCAGGGGGCCACCTCGGACATAAGTGCGCGCATGGGGAAGTCACGCTAGGACTCCTACTGCGCGCCCTTGCGTTCGCCCAGCGGGGGCCGAGTGCCCCCCCCAGGACGGCCCTGCGCGCGCCGTGCACTGGGCATGTCGCCCCCCCCCCCACCCCGCACAGCGGCTCCCCACGGCTGCGCGGCTGACGCCGGAGGACAAGGGGGGGGCAGACGGAGGGGGTGAGAAGGAGTGCGCCCGTGGTGCAGCTGAGCGATGAACGGGAGTTTTTAAAAGATCACATTCCTCTGCAACAAACACGCTTGCACAGTAGGCAGGACTGTTGAATTATTTATAACGACTTGTGGATGACAAGACATTTGCCAGCAAAGGCCGCGGAACAGACAAACTACACCCTCCCCCTCTGCTCCTGGCGCTGCCGGGCGGCAGCTCCCCTTCGGCGTGGGACCCACAGCGACCGGATGTCACACGAGGAGTCAGCGCGTACACACAATTCCACGGGGCGATCTTCCGTTCTGTCGGCACTGTAGTTTCTAATTCCCTGCTCTGAGTTTTCAGAAAGCGTCTTCGACTCATCTGCATCTGTGCGATGGGATTTCTAAGGGCCGAGCAGCGGAGTGATTGGCCAGCTTTCTCACGGTCCCTCGGACTTCCTGGGTGTTCTGTCATTCGTTCATTCGCTCACTGAGTCATTCGATTTCTGTAGCTGCACGGAGAGACTCGACCAGTTATGCTTAGAGCTGTTCCGCACCCCCCCTCCCCCTTTTCTCATCTCCCTAGCTGCCCCCACGTCCCCAGATCCGCTGACGCGGCTGCCCCGACGGCTCCTCAGTCGGCGGAGACTGAGTGAGGGGCGAGTCCCCTCGCGGAAATCCGTTCTTTCTGAGAGAAGCAGCGTGGCGCCCGTTCCAGGAGGGCGTTAGGGCCCCTTCCATCTTCTGTCGTTACCAATTTATGTTTTTTTGACACAAAACTATGCCCAGTTAATCTCTGCTCAAGCTGAAAAATGGATACTACCAGCCAGTCCTGGAATTTTTGGTGTGGTTTGACATGTGCCGAGGTTGAAGTGTAAAGAAATAGTTGTTCAGGTCGCCCACATCCTCACTTCCTCCACGCGCCCCCCCCGCCCCCCATGGAAAGGAGACCCTGGGACAGGAGCCGGCCCGCCAGGCTCCCCTGGCGTCTCCACTGCGCACCTCCGGCGGCAGCAGCGCCGTGACCCAGAGGCTGCACACGCACAGTCAGCCTTAAGGGAGCGCACTCCGGCGTGCGGTGCGTTTGTGTCAGGTCACTCTGTAAAGCAAAAACAGCCACGAGACGCGTTCCTCCTCCTTTGGGGCCCATGGAAACAGAATGGAAGTGACTCTCTCTGCGGGCGCCTCGGAGGGGCGAGCTAGCCCCTGAGGGCCCTGCCCAGACGTAGGGGCTGCGCTCGCTGCGACCGGCTCTCCTCGTGGGCGGGAGCCCCCTGCCAAAAGCACGATCCTTGGGTCAGTCTCGTTTCCTTTGTGTCTGGACTGTACTTCCCTTTACTATTTACTCACAACTAGAACTAGATTTTTTCTTGGCGATCGTACACCAGAACAACCTTTATGTAAAGTTCTATGTAACGTTCCTGCTCCTGTTCCACCGGGAGGAGACCAGGGCCGGTTCGGGCTGTGCACCGAGGCCCTCGCGTGCATGGCTGCCCGAGAGGAGCTCTGTCAGCCCCCCGCCACGTCGCAGGGGGACGGAGACCGCTCGTGAGGCGGCTGCGTCACAACGGGGCGCAAGAGGAGTCCGCGCGGACACGCGTGTGTCACGGGCCTCCGTGCTCCTCGGGTGCCGGCCCACAGGAGGACGGGGTCTCATGCCAAAGGGGAAACTGTTAACGGGCGTGTGAACACGCCGGCCGCCGTCACGCAGTCCGCCCTGTCGGCGTGTGGACGGCGGGAGCCCCGACACCCACGTGTGCCGTCCGGCCTTACCTGACCCGTTCTTCAGGTGCCCGTTGGCGTCCACGGTCGTGTACATGATGTAGGGTCCTGGCTGGTTCACGCCGAAGGGCTGTAGCGAGAAGGAGAGTCAGGCCTTGGGGGTGGGTGGGGCGCTCTGGGGGTCTGCCGAGACGGATGGGGTCCGTTGCAGAGGGCGGGCACGCCACGCAGCTCTCCCCAGGGAGCCGTGCCCACCGGCTGCCCGGCACGCGGGCTGTGCTGTCAGCTGGGGCTAACGAGCGGCTGACCACGCTCAGGAGGGAAAATGCAAACGAGAAGCTCACACGAGGGCTCTGGAAAGAGTGCTGACACGGCCTGCGGCCCTTGCGGGCCCCCGCCTGTGCGCCCACCGTCCCCACACCAAGGCCCGTCTGTCACTGACGGACGCCCCTCTGCAGCCACCGCTGGTCCCGAGCGGAGCACACAGGGCAGGCCCGCCGCCCCGGTCCAGCCAGGCCACCGGAGGGACAGCAGCGACAGCCACCAGGGACAACGCGCCTGGGAGAGCGCGTCCCGGGCTCATGTGTTATTTAAGATGTCCGGTTTCCAACAACAGAAACCACACACACACACACACACACGCGCCCTTCCAGAGTGCGGGGTGACCAGTGAAAAGCCCACTGCAGCGGCTCGGCAGCAGGTCTGGGCTGCGAGGGAAGAACTAACAAACCTGAAGATGCCCCGTCTGAGGTCGGCGGAATGAGACCCTGAAGACACGAACGGAGCCCGAGGGGCCGGTGCCAGCGGTCTCCTGGGCGGGCCCACACTTGGTGCACTGTGTGAAATTCGGCAGCCCCCGCCCTGACCGGCGTGGCTCAGCGGGCCCAGGGTCCTCCACGGAGCCCGAGGTCGCCGCCTCGCTTCCTGCTCGGGGCCCTGCCCCGGTTGCGGGTTGGCCCCAGAGGGGTGTGTGTGCAAGAGGCAACCAGCCAGCGTTTCTCTGTTTCTCTTCCTCCTTCCCTTCCCCCTCTCTGCACATAAATAAAATCCTTAAAAAAAGTTGGCACTTTGCCAGAGTATATAGTGTCATCCGAACCTCTGCCTAATAATTAGGGTTGACCAATACAAGAGAACAGAGACAGGAACTGGGCTGAGCACGCAGAAAACAATAAACACGTCTCCTTTCCCGTTGGGGGCGGTGGGGGGGGGGCTGCTTCCTCCTGCAGCGGCGACGGGCCTCTGCTGACCGGCACAGCAACGAGGGCGCCGGACGGGAGGCCACAGAACACAGACTCCACAACACAGAAGGGCGGGGAGGACGCGAGTTGGAGTTACTAAGAAGCCTTCTGAATTGTGGGATATAACTTGTAATGTTTAGATGTATTTTAATTTATTTAGCTCTAAAAGGTATGATTTTAAAGTTATTTACTGTGTAACTGCTTTCACACGGCCCACACCAGCCAGGGTCAAGCTTCTGGACCCCAGGCACACGTAAGCTGGTGACTCAAGTTCCGTGGCACGCCGAAACACGCATTTTTTGCCCCTCTGATAAAAATGTGTAATTCTGATTCTTTCAGGTTGGATGGCTATTGCAGTGTTGGCTGTTGTTGTTTCTTCAGTTTGACGCCCTGAGGGAGAGGAGGGCAGTGCCCCGACCACGGGGCCAGGGGCCGCGGGTTTTGGGACCCCTGAGGTGCAGCGGGGGAAAAGCACGGGCTGCACTGTCACGACGTCAGCGCTCCCCATCCCCCTCCCTTACTGGAACACGCGGCAGCGTGACCTTTCCCTCTCAAGGGCACGCTGAAGGCTGGCGACCACGCAGGTGCGCAGGCAGAGAGCAGGGGCCCACGGGAACGCCTGTGGGCGCAGGGCTGTGGGCACCCGGAGCACACAGCCGTTTCAGGATCCGGGGACCCACACGAGAACCCGGCGGCCAGTCTGAACTTCCGAGCGACGAAGGTGGAGAAAGGGGACCACCTCGGAGCGCGGAGCCGCGTCACACTGAGCGGCGGAGGCCGGGTGTCTCACACGGGGGGGGGGGTCCCTCCCGCAGGGCTCCCCGTTCTCGGGGGACGGCTTCAGATGACTTGGGGGAGCACCTCAGACGGACGGACTGGGGGGCAGCCGGCATACAGACGGCAAGACAAGGCCGGGGGTGGGGGGGCTGAGGAGACTTGGAGAGCCACGCGGAGGGGCCGAGGGCCTAGAACGGGCCCCGAGAAGTGCCCCCCGTTTCCTCATCTTTAAATGGGGGGTAACTCCTTATACAACAAGGGTTACTGTGAGCACTCAAGCAAGGATATACCAACACACACACACACACACCCACACTTTCAAGTATAATGTTAACATTCTTAACATTTACACAAACAGGCAATTTCAAAACCTAAGCCAAACTATTCTCACATTTTGTTACCATATTTCGCTGAAATGTCCCATTAGGACAGCAAATCAGTATTAAGACTATTCAAAAACTCACTGAAAAATTCGTAAGCCTGACTCCATGCTGTGTGCCGTGTACCAGGACGGCAGTCCCTCACCCCCAGGGTGACAGTCGGGGGCGGGGGGGGGAGGGGCTGAAGCTCCGCAGGCGAGGCTGCCGGAGCATCACGCATCCTGGAGATGATGGGGGGGCGCTTCCCCCGGGTGTGAGCAGAGGCTGCCGGAGGGGACCCTTGAGGGGCAGGCGCCCTAGCGAAGGCCCTTTACCCCAGGGAACTCCTCTCCAGCACTGAGGGGCACACCCAGGGCCCCCACGAGGGGCGACCCGACCGCGGCCGGCGTGGCCGCCGCGCTCACTCACCGTTATCTTCCGCGGGCAGTCGTTGGAGCAGAGGCCGCTGAGAACTGTGGGGGGGGAAGGGAAGGCAGCTCGTTAGCGGGGGCGCAGCCTCGGCCTGCGTTTAAAGTGACCTCCTGCCGTTCCCCCCCAGCCCCCACCCCCACGCTCCTCGGGCCCTGTGGTCTGGAACAGAAACCAGCGGCCTTGCCTTGGCCCCGAGGCCCCTGGATGTCGGTTGTTCGCTTTCCTCCGACACCTCGAAAGCCTTCCCTGAGCAGTTGGGACGCCGGCGGACAGTGGGGGTCACACCGGTCTGCCGCTGGCCCCCGCCCCGGCCGCTGGGCCAGCTGCAGCCCCAGGACGGCCCAGGGCCGGCGGAAGCGCAGACGGAGGGGGGTGTGCACGGGGAGGGGCAGGCGGAGCCCCCGGCACTCCGTGTCTCAGGGCGGACCCCCGTATGTCCCCGTACACAGTCCGAGCCCCTGGCCTCAGAGCCTGGGCACGCCGGGCAACGGTTAGGAGGCTGCGACCGCAAAACCGCCGATGGTCTGTCTACAAGGAGCGTGCACAAGTAACCTAATGGCGCATTTACCCTACACTCGCCGAAGGAGAAAAGGTCAGAGCACCCGACCAGTCTTCACAGGAGCCACGCGAGTTCTGAGACTCGGCCGTGCTGGTGCCGCTCACGCGAGGCGGCGCCTTTGGAAGAACAGACCCAGGGCGCTGGCGGGCGCTCGGCGTGCCGTCGGTGAGTGAGCGCCGGTGACCCTGCTGGGCACGCGGGAGCCGCTTCGGTGGCAGTTGGGAGTGTCTGTCGGCGCGCGTACCCCCAACCCCTCTGCAGGAGGGGGTCCTGGCCTCGCCTGGAGTCCACGGCCAGGGCAGGTCGCGTGCGTTCTGAGAGACGGCGCTCGGGCAGGGTCCGAGGGACGCGGGCCCTCAGAAAGGCCCGCTCACCATGGCGGGGACGCTGCCCGCCCACACCGCACACACGTCAGCGTGGTCACTTCAGTGTTTGCGTCAGACGCCGCGTGAGCAGCCGGCGGAGGCAGTGCTCTGCACCCGCACAGCAGCCTCTGGCGTGCAAGTCATTTATCCTGGGACAGCGTCTGGTTCTCACGTCTACTCTTGAGGTTTTTGGTTGGTTGTTTTTTTTTGGGGGGGGGGTGTTTAACTCCAGGCTCACATTAGTATTTCTTCCCCACTTGCACCAGGATGCTCTTCATAAACTTCATTTAAACCACTGTTTTGCCGAACAGTGACTGTCTGCTCACAAGTCTGTGTGCGTGACTAGTGCGTCTGCTCTGCAGCATTTCTGTCCTCTTCTCAGTGCCTGGGCCGGTGTCTTTGCTCCACAGACACTTGCTAAGGCCGGAAAAGATGGATTATTCAATAAACGGTCCAGGATAATTGGCCACTTGGAGGAAAACGAAGTTAGACTTTAACTCATAACATAAAAATTACATTTGGCCATGACCCAAATAATATAAAGAACCCTTATACTTCACTAATAAAAAGACAATCAATTAAAAAATGGGCAAAAGATCTGAATAGGCATTTCTCCAAAGAAAATAAAGAGACAAAGCCCGTGAAAAGATGAGCAACATCATTAGCGCTCAGGACGCTTCACACCAGGACCACAGGGCGCGCCTGCTACTCACGGCACCCAGGCGGGAACAGACCAGGACCTGCCCCGGGCTCCAACCAGGGGAGCAGGCCTGCGGGTACCAGTCTGGGGGGGGGTGGTGGCCTCGAGGACGTCGTGCGGAGGGCGACAGGCCACCCGCCACAGCGCCAGCCCTGGGCGATCCCGCTCTGGGAGGCGTCCGGAGGAGTGGGTTTGCAGAAACTGCAATGGCGGCTGCTGGGGTGAATTCCAAGGAACAGAGTGATTTCTGGGGGTCGTCCTGGAGCTTTGGTGTGCACGGGGGCGTCTCAGTTGCACTCGTCCCCACCACGCTGAGTGAGCGGGCGGCGCTGCCTCCACACAGGCTCCGCCCTCGTCCCCACAGGAGAGCGCCTGGGCGGCGAGTCCAGGGCCCGCACCGCCCCTTGCTCCAGAACGGGAAGCGAGAGCTCAGCCAGCGCGTCACTGGAGGTCGCCACGCAAATGGGATTCTTTAGGAAGACCGTGTGGCCAGCAGGCACCAGGTCATTTAAAAAACACATTATCCTGCTTACGTGGGAGATGGGAAATCAATGAACCATTGGATTATTTTATTTTCTGTACAAGGGAGAATGTCTCTGTCTTGTTTAGCAGAGTTGAGAACACTTACTCAAAACTACATAATAGTCTTTTCCATTTTGTACATAGCAAGCTAAAAATTTGCTTGTATCTTATATCTGTTTTTGATTTTTACAAGACTTCCTCTGTCAAATTTGAAGTTTCATTTGTAGCAACAGGGTCCAAATGGTAAGATTTAAATGTATCGTACTTACGTACGTATCACGTTTATGTCATGGGTGTTTACTACACACCCCTCTTTTAAAAAGAGAGAGCTACGTAATACGAACAGAAGATGCATTTCCCCGGTTTTACCAGATTCAAGAAGGGGCGATGTTAATGCCTGAGCTTAATGAGTCTTCTTCTCGATAACACTGTTTCATTGGGAGTTCAGAACTCCCAACTACTATCGTAAAGGCTAACCTGTTCTCGGTGCGAAACGGTTACTTCGTCTACCGAGAAGCCTGACCTTCCCCAGGGGCGGGCCCGGGGGACCGGGCAGGTGGGGCCCGTCCTGCGTGGGGCAGAAAAGCGTCTGCGCCACCCTCGGCAGGGACACTGCCCTGGGCAGGGGGGGCGGGGGAGAGCGAGGGTCACGCTCAGCTCTGTCTTTGCCGTTAAATCCCTGGGTCGGTCTCCGGTCCCAAGGAAGATGGACCCACCCGCAGACACGCTTTCTTCCCTCGAGCTGATAAAATCAGAAAAAGTTCCACAGCCGGCCGCTTCCTCTTGGGGATCAGGAAACAAAACAAACACCCAACCAAAGCTTTAACAGTGAACAACATAATGCTCTAAAATTCGCTTGCCTAACCCAAGGCATAAAGGGGCAGACCCCTATGACATTTGTCCAAGTGTCCCTTGAGAGGGCAGCTGTAGGACTCCACAAACGGCAGCTCACGAACAGGCCAGAGGTACGAGCAGTCGATCGGATCGGGGCGGGAGCGTCATTTCTGCCTCCCCCGGCCCCCACCCCACCCCGCCTGGGTCAGAGACACCCCTGGCTGCTGCGCACTCCAGGGCGGGCTGTATCGCTGCGCTAGTGACCACAGCAAAGCTGCCTCCTGGGAGGGAGACAGTCGCACTTTTCACAGGAAGCACAGGTCACAGTGACGCAGACGGTCCCCCCCCGCAGCACTGAGCACCACAGGCCGGCGTGCGAACGCCCAGAGACGCCCGCAGGCAGTGGGGTCCCCCCCGCCCCGCCTGCCCTCTCCGCAGCCCCCGGCGAGCTTCCCAGGGCAGGGACGGTTTCTGTCCAGACGGTTTCTGTCCGGCTCATCAGTGTCTGTCTGTCTGTCTGTCTCTCTCTCTCTCTCTCGTGACAAGCATGCGCCAGTGTCTTCCCACCAACGCGCTGGTGCCGGCTGGACCACAGTCTGATTTCTAGACATTCAAGGGTTTAACCATTTCACAAACTTTTCTAAATGATTCGCATTAAGAATTCCATATAGATCTATATTACAACATTTTATGATACGCTTGCAAATAAAGTGGTCTAAGCGGTAATTTCTAATACCCCAGGATTTTAAAACCCAAGCTGTTTTAGGAGGATTAGTGAAATATGAAAACTTAGGCTATTCAGAGTTAAATGAAAAACTGTAATTAAAATAATTAATGAGCTATGTGAATTACTGGTTATTAGCAGATTAAATCAGTTTAAAAGTTGACTAATGGGACGTGTAATTCACCAGTTTCCGTCACAGTGACAGCACTCAGGGCGTGACCACCCCGTGGGAGGAGGACACATTGCAGCCCAGGGGCTTCCAGGGGCATTCCGGGAGTAAAACCTTGCCTTCATGCGTGTGGCTGTGTGACTCGGGTGGCTACTTAGTAACAATCATCGTGAGCATAAGCCTGGCCGGGCTGGGAGGAGGGGGAGGAGGGGGAGGAGGGGAGGGGGAGGCCGCAGCTGGCAGGAGCGGTAGTCCGCAGCAGCAGCGGTGGGAGGGATAAAGTGGCCTCACTGGGGTTCAGGGTGACCGACTGAATTCCTTCTCTGAAAACGCCTTCCGTTCCTGTTTTTGTAAGACACGTGGCTACAGAGCGAACATCACACTTAACCGCCCGGTGTGAAACAAGGCCTCCCTCCCAGCCGACCTCGTCACTCAGACCCTTTATGAGTCTTAGAGCGCGGTCCACGCCGGCGCCGGTGGCGGCCCGGACGGGGAGGCGGCACGGCGGCCGCTGCGGGAGCCCAGGCGAGCACCAGTGATGGAGGGAGGGGTGGGAGGGCATCTCAACGTGGCCAGAAGGTTACTTTCCCCAAATGATCGCTTTAGATTGGCGTCTCATTTCCCATGGCCTTTCTGTAGAGAATGTTATTAACATCTGTGTTAGCAGCGTTCACGCCGCGGAGCCGCTTTGTTTTCCAGAACGAAGTCCTCCCGCACCACGGGGGCCGCGGTCCCCACTGGCGGCGCTGTCCGGCGGACCCGGCCCGACCTGGGCTACGAGCCATGGGCCATGGAGGCTCCAGAGATGCTCCGGTCTTTGAAACTTTGTGTGTGGGCTTTCCAACAACAGCTGAGAACAGCAGAAGGAACCCCGGGACACGTCACAGAGCTCCCGCCGTCCCCACCCCACGGCCGACCCCACTCGCCTGCCGTGTCCTGCCCAGGACCCTTCAGAGCAGAGCCTCAGACGCGGGGTTTCCCTTCAAGGGGTTTGCTGCCTCACGACTTAACTCTGCAGAGAACCTGACCTTGTCCCGAGCAGGACCATGACGGGGCCGCAGGTATCCCGCACCCGAGTCCTGTTCCGCGTGTCGGGCGGGGGGCCGGCCGGCACGGGCGGGAACGGGTGATGGTGAACACGTGAGCGAGCGAGTGAGTGAACGAGCACACTGCGGAAAGCGGAGTCGGTCCGGCTGCCAGAGGAGATGTCTACGCCCAGGGAGACCAGGAAGCACCTCTGAAACGTGCCTGGTCAAGGCCAAGGTTAACATGGCTGTGCATGTCAACTCCACGTGCTTCCCGGTGCGAGGCGCTGAGGGGTCTCTGCAGGGAGCTTGGGACCGAGCTGGGTGGGTGACGGGGCCGGAAGAGGAGGTCCCTGCTGGAACACAGGCCGGGCCAGACGCCAGCGCCGGGCCGAGGCCGATTCCCGACCTGCGGAGCTGCCCGTGGGTCGCGGAGGAGGGCGTCTTTACCTCGGAACGTTTGCACCGACAGAGGGGAGGCCCGAGGGAATGCTGATGCCCAACAATAAAACACACAAAGCGAACACTCACCAATGACTTTAACAAAGTAAGCATCGGCTTCGAAGTTGTTTTTCAGCGCGTGGATGGTGAGATCGTTCCTTGTGTAGCCCTTGCTGAGCACCAGGATGTCCAGGATCCCCTGGGGGAGACGGAGACAGGGCGGTGAGAGCAGCACGCGCACCCAGGTGGCGGGCCGGGAGAGCGCGGGCCCTCCTCACTCAACGTGAGGTTCAGAGTGAAAACGCCGCTCGAGAGAGAGAAGCCCTTGCATAGCAAAACAGAAATAAAATGAAAAACATTGGTGATTTTAGTCTCTGGAGAGATTTTGGTATGTTTCCTCCCAGTCACATTTGCTTGAATTTTTAAAAGCCTGTGATATGGACTTCCAAATCATTTCCAGACCCGGAGAACAGGAGACCGCTGCCTATTACCATCCCCCCCACGAACGGGGAAGCTTCGCTAGTGTCTTCGGAGGGAAAGGAGTGCTCGCTTGAGTTCCTGGGCCGCCGACGCTTAACGAGGTGGACCATTTGCTGTGTGTTTCCTGTGACCCACCTGGGTTTTTTTCTGTCAACTGGCTACGTTCTGCTTCTCGGGAGGAAGAGTTTGGTGACTAACATCAGTTTATATAAACCCTTCTCATATTAAGAATATTCATTATTTGGTTCTTTCATAGCAAATTTATTTCCCAGATTTAAAAACAATTTTAAATTTCATTCATTTAAATTTCATTTAGGATGTGTTTTATGTATGGAAATTAAAAATTGATTTGTAGTCAATACCCTTGGGATGTTTTTGCCAGTTACTTTTATGCTTGAAAACGGCTAATAAAAGGGAAACAGAGTGAGAGTTGAAAGCAGAGAGACAGGAAAACAAGGACCTCGGTAATTGTGTAATTGAGAATCAGCAGCTTATAGAAAACTAAAGCACAAGTGGAATTGGGAGAGACAGAAAGGTCCTCGTGGGCATTTAACTTTTTAAAATAATCGTGCTGTTTTACAGGGCACACGGGGCTACAATAACTCTGGGATTTAACACATTCACACCAGAACTTACTATTTTTCAGAGTGGCAAACTGGTTTACACTCGCAAGGAGGAAACGGGGGCCCTGGGAGGTGGACCGGCCACCGGAGACAGCGTCACAAGAGTCTGTGGCACTGGGTGCCGCCTCTGGCGCAGGAGACAGGAGTGAACTCACTCCTCATGCCCTCGTGCAGGTTCAAGGGTCGGCTCCCTGCCGGCTGAGCCTCCGCCTCCCGGGGCCCGCACCCCTGCCAGCCTCAGAGCATGGCTCTCTGGCGGCTCAAATGAGCACAGCAGGAGGCAGAGGCCTTGTCCTGTCCCACAGCGAGGACCAGCCAGGGGTGACAATGGAATTGTCCCCGCTGCCATCTAACATGGGGAGGGAATTCCTTCAAAGCATGCGTTTGCTCTCCTGACCTTATCTGCACCTTCTGGTACGACAGGGTGGGGGGGAGGGGGGAGAGAGAGAGAGAGAGGGAGAGGGGAGAGGGGGGATGAGAGAAAGAGAGAGGGAGAGGGAGGGAGGGAGGGGGGGGGGAGAAGGAGGGAGGGAGGGAGGGAGAGGGGAGAGGGGGATGAGAGAAAGAGAGAGGGAGAGGGAGGGAGGGAGGGGGGAGAAGGAGGGAGGGAGGGAGGGAGAGGGGGATGAGAGAAAGAGAGAGGGAGAGGGAGGGAGGGGGGAGAGGGAGGGAGGGAAGGGAGACGGGGGGGGTGGGCAGCCAGCAGCCCCCACCCCCGGGAGAGCTCGGAACTCACGTCTTCGTAAATGTCAAAGAAGGTGGCGACCACGGCGTCTCGGACTTGACTCAGGTCCGCCAGCTCCCAGTAGACCTTGAACATGCGGCGCGCGCCCTCGCAGCTCGCGTTGGTGCAAGGCACGTTCTCCAGCAGGAAGGCCTGCTGGTTGCTGCGGGCGGAGGACAGGCAGGCGGTCAGTGCGGCGCAGGGACGCACCCCCGCGCACCGTGCCATCTGCGGGCACGACGCTGTGCTGTGTCCTGGGTCTCCCCGAGAGCGGAGGGAGTGGGGCTTTGATGTTCTCGCCGTGACGACAAAAACAAGCGGACGGCAGTTACGTGAGCGGGAGAATGCGACCTGACCAGGGCGAACATGTCCCTGCACACAATGGCAGAACTCCTGACATCGTGCGACTCACACAATGCTGTCAATTACATCTCGTGCGACTGGAACAAAGGCAGTGACAGAGGTACGTGGAAAACCCCTGCAGACCTGGACATCCAGGGAAACACCACAGACTGATCCGGGGTGAAAGAGGGAACCCTGGGGAAACGACAAGGACTCTGAGCTGAGTGAGGATGAAGCCGCAGCGCAGAGGCCCGGGGGGGGGGGGCGTCCGTCACCACAGGGGCATTTGCAGGGACGTCTCCAGCACTCAGCGCTTCGTTAAAGAGGGGGGCCTCACGCCGGTGACCTCCGTTTCTGCCTCAAAAAACTGGAAACAGAGGAGCCAGTAAAATATGAAATGAGCAGAAGGAAGGAAAGAATTACACGGAGGAAAAGCAACAGTGTAGAGAACAGAAAAAACAGTACAGAAAATCAACAAAAGCTGATTCTCTGCAAAAAAACAATTTTAAAATTGATAAACCTTCACCCAGAATGGCCTTTAGAAGCACTACAGAGAGAGAAAACACACAGTGAAAACAGCAGGAACGAGAGAGGTACCATCACTACGGATTTTGCCGACGTTAAAACAGTAACAACGGGAGGGGCCCTGGCCGGTGTGACTCAGAGGACGGAGCACCGGCCTGCAAACGCAAAGGGAATGCGACCAACAACTCTGCGCCGACACGATGAACGAGTTACACGACACAGACTCCTCGGAAGTCGTAAACCTCAAAGCTTACTCGAGAGGAAATAGATAAACTGAAATGGTACTTTCAAACCTTCTTAAAAACCCCCAGACTCCAGGCCCAGATGGCTTCATTGATGAATGATAGCAGATATTTAGAGAGGAAATTACACTCTACACAACCTCTTCAGAAACCAGACGTGGAAGAAACATTCCACTCACGCTACGCTGTCCCACCGCCCGTCAAAACCAGATGCTGCGGGAAACCACAGACACGCTCCTCACGGACACAGGAGCAAAACACTGAACAAAATTCTAACACATCAGACCCAGCAGTAAATTAGAATTTGCTTTGCACAACAGCATTCACTAAAACCTGTGCAACGTGGAACCACGTCCCTGCTTCACGATCAGCAGGGAATCGCGCGGAGACAGGAAACAGCTCTGAAACGGACATGTTTCCGCGAGCTCGGCGCACGGCAACGCGAAGACTTTGGGCATAAAGAGAAATAAGTATCGGGGCCAACCTGGGTTTACTGCAGGGAGGCAAAGCTGCTCTGATGTTTTAAAATGAGTATCACTCACTAGATTAATCAACTAAAGAGGAAAACCACATGAACCTCTCAATAAAGGTGAAAAAGTATCTGGTGAAACCAGACATCCCTCTCTGATGCGAACTCGGAGCAAACCAGGGACAGAAAGAAGGAGCTTCCTCCCGGGGCTCGGGGCGTCCGCAGAAAACCGACAGCGGCCCCGCGCTCACAGGCAGGGCTGGCGCCCTCCTGCTGGGGCCCTTGTCCCGGCGAGGCCGGTGCCTGCTCTCGCCGCTTCCACTCCACAGCGTACGACGAGTTCCCGCCGTCGTAGAGGCAAGGGACACAAAAGGTATCTAGACCAGGAAGGAAGAAGGAAACTGCATTTACTCGTAAGTTGTTTGACCACCTTTTCAGAAATCCTGTAGTAGCTCCAAAAACACTACTAGGGTTAATCAGTTGAGCTGCGTGGCAGAGCACAAGGTTAATATACAAACGCCAGTTGCATTTCTACATGCTAGCAAACAACCACCAGAAATTGGAATAAGGAAGTACCAGTGACAGACAATAGCATCCAAAAAGGAAACGCTGAGGCATCTGATAAAAGATGCACAGGATTATGCGCTGGAAACCGCAGCACGCTGCTGGGAAAAATGAGAGCCCTACAGCGAAAGGACGCACACACGCACGCACACATACACGCATGCCCGCATGTCATGGGTCAGAAGACTCAGCACTGTTCAGATGCCGGTAAGCCCCGTATTGATTTGCAGACTCGATGTAATATCCATCAAAATCTTGGTACCTTTTTTTTTTTGCAGAAATTGAACAACTGATCCTAAAATTCATGGAAAACGCCCACATCTGAAGCTGACAATGTGACGCTGGGGAAGGGTAAGCCGGGGGACGCAGGCTGCCTGAACTCGCCGCGCACTGCCAGCCAGCGGCCATCACACCGCGGGGGGCGGCGGCGGCCCCGGGGCGGCGGCCGTCAGAGCAGCGCGGGGAGTGCGGAAATGGGCCGCCGGGCCGCGGAGCTGTGTTCACCGAGCACCAAAGGCAACTGCGCAGCAAAAGGAAGCCTTTTCAGCACACAGCGCTGGAACAATTCACCGAAAAATGGACTTGGGCCCATACCCCGCACCATATAGAAATAGTAACTCAAAATGGATCGTAGAGCCCAGTGGAAAATGCAGAGCTGTAACCATCCCAGGAGAAAGCACGGAAGGAAATCCCTGTGATTTAATCAGGCAGAGGTTTCTGAGCTACGACACTGAAAGGAAACTGAGAAAGGGGACATTTTCAACACGGAACACTTCTGCTCTTTAAAGATACGTTCAGAGAAGAAGAGACAAGCCAGAGGTCAGCGAGAATGTGAGCAAACCACCAGCTAATAAAGGGTTTGTATATAAATAACTTTCAAAACTCAATGAAACAAATATCCCAAGTAAAATGTAGAAAAGGCTTGAACAGACTCTCCACCTCCAAGACACGAAAGACAAATGATCACATTAACAGACAGTCAAAAATCATCAGTTATTAGAGAAGTTGTAGTTTATCTCCTACAAGGAGAATAACTACAGCTGGGAAAAACTGATGACAGCAATGCCCGAGAAAACCTGAAGCAACTGGAACTGTTCGGCGTTTTCTTAAAACGTCAGACACGCACCTTCCAACAGACCCAGCCCTCCCACCCCCGGTGCCCACCCACGGGCAGCGCACGGCCGGGGCACCCAGTGACGGTCACGGGAAAGTTCGGCGCAGATTCCGTGCAACGACAAAACCCGATAAAAACCCAGATGCCCGTCAGCGCGCGAATGGACACGTCCGTACGATGAAACGCGCCTCAGCTGGGAGACGCGGGGGACGGCAGGCGCACACGTGAGAGCACGGAAGAGCCTCGGTGTTGCAACCCCGAGCGAAGAGCGCAGACGAGACGAGGGGGCGTCCGTTCACAGGAAACAGTAGGAGACGCCGTCCAGCCACGGGCGGGGAGCGGGCCGGTGGCGCCTGTGAGATGGGGGTGGGGGTGGCGATGGCCGAGGGCTGACCAGAAGTTTCTGCGGGGGACGGGCACACGCCACCCCTCGGCGGTGACGGTGTCTCACGGTCCACGTGAGGATTCCCGACACACGCACTTCAGAGACGCGCGGTTACTCCGTCAGTCAGACCTCATCAAAGCTGTTGCAGACACACGGTCTCCTTCGTGAGAAGAGCCGAAACCACAGGCCACGGAAGAAAACACAAAGTCGGCATCAACAAGATGAAAAGCAGCTGCGCTTCCAAGGGCCCCCCCACGACGGCCCAGGGAACGGGAGAAGAGTTTTGCAAGTCACGTGTATGACGGGGGATTTATACCTAGAATATGTAAGAACTCCTACAACACAGTGATGAAAAGACAAGTAAATTTTAAAAACGGAAGACACACAAGTGGCCCTGGGCACACAGAGGAGGTGGCAGCCGGGGCCCTCCGCACACACGGCGCACACGGCGGGGGGACACGCGGGGGCAGGGTCCCGGGACGCGGGCTGGCAGCGCCGCGGGTGGTCAGACGCAGAGGCCCGTCCCCGGGAATATTCTGCTCCTAGGCACCGGTCACGAAAAACAAACGCGCGTCCACACGAAAGCCTGTCTGCGAATACCCACAGCAGCATTATTCCCACCGGTCGGACACCCGCCTGCTGACCGCCGGGCACCACGGGGCGCGTCTGTGCGGTGGGAAACTCCACAACGGAGGAAGTGCCGGCGGACACGGGCCGCCTGCCGTGCGGCGGGCCCTTGGAGACGGCAGGCCGGGCCGGGCCGGGCCGGTCCCGTGGCAGAGCGCCACGCCCCCGGGGCCAGTTGGTGGAGCAGGCGCAGGGCCGGCGGCGGAGACGGAGAACGCGAGTGGTTTCCCGGGGACGCCGAGGCTGGGGAGCAGCGGCTGGGGAGAGGGGGCTGCTTCGCGGGGCGACGAGGTGCCCTGAAATGAGCCGCGGCGACGGGTGCACAGCCCTGCGAACCCACCAAAAGCCACTGCGTCGTCCGAAGTGCGTGAGTGAGCTGTGTGACGTGTGAACCGCAGCTCAAGAAAGCTGTTGATGAACAAGTCACTGCGGGTCACCTGAACCCATGAGACACCCCGGGGAACGTTCAAGCGACGTGGGGTTTGAACGCCCACGTCCAGCGCGTCTTCTCCGGGCAGGCCGACGCCGACGCCGACACGCTCGGTGCCTCCTGCCGAGGCTGGTTCCGCCGCTCCTCAAAGGCCCGTGACATCGGGCTGCTCCTCCACACCCACCGCCGACCAGGTCCGGGTGGGCCTGGGCTGGCACCGCACGGTCCGTCTTCTTTCCCTCAAGGGCGGGGGCTGACGGGGCGCTGAACTTGAGGTGTGGCTCCCCCCCCCACCCCGGCCGCCCTCAGAGCTGTGTGTCCCCCTCAGCCACTCCTCGCCCAGACTGTCCCCAGGGCCATCCCCCCAGCTCCCCGCAGGGGCGGGGGGGTGGGGGGAGGGCTGCGATTTCGGCGCGCGTCCGTCTTTCTGTGCAAACCTCGGGGAAGAAGGCAGTCTTCCTCCAC